ATGGGCGGGGGAGGGGCTGAGGGGTTTGGGGGGGCGGGACCCCGAGGAAGGGGGAGGGGAGCAGGGGGAGACCCCCCCAGAAGGACTTAAGGTAAGAGAGGGGCCTCAGAATAGGAGGAGGGGGGCCCAGGAGGATGGTCGTGGGGGAGGTGCTGATAAGAAGGGGGGAGGGGAGGAAAGGGAGACCCCTAGAAGAAGGTAAGGGAGGGGCCTCAAGAGGAGGAGGGGCAGCCAGGAGGATGGGGGGGATCCTGATAAGGGAGGAGCAAGGCCCCAAGGAGGGAGGGGGGGAGGGAAGCAGGGGGAGACCCCCCAGAAGAACTTAAGCTAAGGGAGGGGCCTCAGGAGGAGGCGGGGCAGCCAGGAGGATTGGGGGTCCTGATAAGGGGGAGCAGGGCCCCAAGGAGGGAGGGGGGAGGGAAATGGGAAACCCCCAGAAGGACTTAAGGTAAGGTAGGGTCCCCAATAGGAGGAGGGGGAGCAGGAGGATTGTCTTGTGGGGGGTCCTGATAAGAAGGGGTGAGCAGAGCCCCAAGGAGGGTTGGGGGGAGGAGGGGGCAGAGCCCCCCCTCAATATTTGAAGGACCCAAAAGGGACAAGGATAAGGGCTGGGTGGGAAAGAGTCCCAGGGGGGATTTGGGGAGGGGGATCCAAGCTGGCGCTGCTCAGCTCTGGGGCAGAAGCTGATTGGTGGTTTCCCCCTTCAATGTGTTTTCTGCTTCTGTATTTATTTGCTGTATGTGATGATGTCTTCTTGGTGGGGGAGGATGGGGGGGGTGCAGGACCAGAGCCGTTGCTTTCCTTTCCTTGAGAAATGTCTATGGAGATTCTCAGAACCCAAGGATGTTTTCAAAAGGCGGCTGGACTTTCTTTGTTCTTCCTTGAAGATGTTTCGCTTTTCATCCAGGAAGCTTCTTCAGTTCCCCAAGGCAGCTGGACTTTGCTTTTTCCTGGAAGACGTTTCGCTTCTCGTCCAAGAAGCTTCTTCAGAAGCCGACCTGCGAAAGGAGACCTGAGAAAGCTTCTCGGGTAAAGAGAAGCGAATCGCCTTCAAGCCAAAACCAAGAAAGTCCAGCTTCCTTGATAAAGAATCTGCTTGTGGAATGATGCGTGTATCAATAATAAACAAGGTTGACATTAGACGTTTATGCAATTGGCATTAAGTAACGTTTTTTGTTTGTTTTTTTGGCAAAGCGGTCAAGAAGAATTCAGATTGTTGCATCTTTAAGGAGGGATGAAATGCCTCTTGTTTGGAAGCCTGGAGAGCCACTGGGGTTGACTTTGCACGATACATTCTGCTTAACCGTGATTTTGCTCAGTTAGTGTCATGTCTGACTTCGTGCGTGTGACGTGCTGAACCATCAACTGGCCCCGTGGCCTGGATTCACCCAACAGTCTTGAGATAAACTGGCTTGCTGGTTGTGGTTCAGTTAGTCATCTGAATGCAGCCAGTGTGAGAACAGCAATTCTAGAAAGTTGGTAGTTTGACTTGGTATGTTCCTAAAGTGGCTGGCTATTTTCTCTAGAGGCTTTTCCCCACATCAGGCATGTGTGTGACTTATCGACAGTCACCCGATAATCTTGATGACTTTTATATAGCACTTCTGATCACTGAAACACTTTATTTAGTAGGGTATATATTTATTTATTGAATTTATCCCAGGCTTTCCCCACAGAGAGCAGTGGCTTTCATGGACATCTTGTGGCCATGTTTATAAAATCCTTGCAACTTCCTTCAGAAGCAGATTAGATTTATACAATCTATTAATAAGTTAATAGGTCATCCAGTGAGATCTATAGCAGGGAGGATGATCTGAACTATGATCTTTATGGTTTTACGTAGTCTAAGCACTCCGACACGTACAGGTAGCCCACCAGGGCCAGAAAAATTCATTATTAAGTGGTGCAGTCATTGAGAGATATCATGTGATCTCACCTGATTTTGCAGTCCTTTTTGCCACGGTCGTTAAACGAATCACTGTGGTCATTAAGTGAGACTGTGATAACAGCTTGCAACCCTTCCCTGCTGGCTTTCCTGTTGACTTTTGCTTGTTGGGAGCCAGCCGGGAAGGTCACTTGACGGGATCCTGCAACCGTCGTAAATGCAGGACAGTTGGTAAACAGGAATATAGGCAGTCCTCGACATCTGACCACAAATGAGCCCCAAAGTTTCTCTTGCTAAACAAGATATTTGTTAAATGAGTTTTGCCCCATTTTTACAACCGTTCTTGCCACAGTTGTGAAGTGAATCCCCCCTCTAGTAACACGCTTGTCACATGCTTTTGGCTTCCCCATTGACTCTCTGCTTGTCCGAAGGTCGCCCAAGGTGGTCATTGAAAAACAGCCATAAGATTTTCTTCAGTGGCTTTATAACTTCAAAAGGTCACTAAAGGAGGACTCCCTGTAGTTGCCCAAGACCTTCATTCCCTGGTGTGATTCAGGCCTGTCGCTCCCGAGGTGTGGAAATCCAGCCTCCAGTGTATGGACACAAGGTCTGGACTGTGGTGAGAATCCAACGGGGAGAGAGTGAGGTCCACATTGCCTTAAAAGTCTCCGAAGGAAAGATTCGGATGTGTATTGTACAATAAGTTGCAGTGGGTTGATGGAAGACTGTTGTAAAGCACTTCAGAGATCATTCTTAGAGGCTGGATAAAAGAGAAAGATAAAAAGACACTTAAGAAATACATTTCTTTTCAGCCACCACACACCTATCCAGAGGTTAGATTTTTTAAGTATACGTCATTATACTTGCAGCACTTTTAGAGAGTACATGATAAAAAGGCTGGCCTCAGCCACAGATAGCTTGTAATTTAATTTTGTTTGAGGGAGTAAAGGAGAGGCGACAGCAATGAAATGCATACTCATTTAATTACTTACATACTTATAATTGGAGCTAATGTGAAATAATGTCTACCTTTATTCCCAGTCCCTCTGAATAGCAGTAGCATCCTAGCGGAAATGGAAAACCGAATGGGGGATTGAGTTTTGATTTCCCAACCAGGCAACTTAATCACAGTTCATCCTAAGGAGCAGTCAGGACTTAACACAGCCTTTGGATTATATGAGCCCCCTAGAGATTTGGCGAAAGAAAGATTTATAAATACAATGCAGTCTGTAACAGGTTTCAGGGCACTTTTAATTTCCGTACTTGACGGACAGCTTGAATGGCTAAATAGGGAGCACTTTTGATGTGAAGGAATATGAGACAAACCTTGAAACCTAGGTGTTTAGAGTTATAGGCCATGCTACAAGAGCTTAGAGTATTTCATGTTAATTACAAGCACTTTTCCATTCCCAGTTCTGACGGTTGTGAGGAATAATTCCCTCTCCTCTTCCCTTTTGTATTTAGCCTTAACTTACAGACCCAAAAGCTCAGCCTTTTTTCTTTTCTTTTTTTATTGTGTACGACTCATCAGAGTTTCTAGAAAGCAAACAAGGGTTTCGTGTTTACAGAGGTGTGAGCTAGAAATTCAAGCTTCAGTTCTCACCTTGCCTGGAGTTTTGTTTAATTATATAAGGAATATTATCATTTCCTCATTACTGGTTTTTTTTCTCTTTATATGGCCCATCGTATAAGATTATTATAAGGCCATTGAAATATAAACTGGTTTGAAAGTTTTGTGGAGAAGTAGTCCCCGACTTAACAATCACAGCTGAATCCCAAATTTCTGTTGCTATGTGAGACACTTAATAAGTGAATTTTGTCCCAATTTTATGACCTTTCTTCTAAGGCACCAGATTAGGAACTGGGAGACCGTGAGTTCTAGTCCCGCCTTGTGCATGATAGCCAACTGGGTGATTTTGGGCCAATCACCAAGAGACCTGAGTTCTAGTCCCGCTTTAGCCATGAAAGCTGGCTGGGTGACTGGGCCAATCATCAGGAGACAGTTGGAAGTTAAGTCTTCTGCCACCTAAAAAGTCCAGGGAAATGTCACATGGTGTCTTCGTATATTAGCTCGGCACACATGTTCTTCTAAGACAGTTTTTCTCCATTTCAGCAAGTTTAAGATGTGTGGACTTCAGCTCCCAGAATTCCCCATGCTGGCAGAGGAATTCTGGGAGTTCAAGTCCACACATCTTAAACTTGCTGATGTCAAGAAGCACTGCCCGAAGCCCTAATGTTTGTTTTTGTGTCGCGTGCTCTGTCAAGCCAGAGTCTGTGGTCTGTAAGCCGCTATTGCTTAATGTGGTGAGTCAGGCTGCTACACTGAATGCAGCTGCATTTCATCCCTGTCACTTGCACTTGTCTTCTATCACACCCACAAAACGTTCTCGCATCTTTGAGGGCTTTTATCGCCATGCTGGAAAGATGGAGGGCAGCTTGTGTTTGGGCACGGACGGGCGAATTGGAGGAGGAAGAGGAAGTGGTGGCTACATCCTGTTCTGTAGAAGTCTTTGTCTCTTAGACACCAAGGAAAACATCCTTCCTGACCTTGACATTCTCCTCCTTGGGGAGGGTTCTTCCATCACACGTGAAACGCTTCAGAAATCAACCAACCTTTTGGGTCCTTGTGACCGTGGAACCACTTGCCCTCCAGAAGTTGTGGACGCTCCATCCCTGGAGCTTTTCAGGAAGAGATTGGACAGTCTTTTCTCTGGAACGGCATAGGGCCTCCTGCTTGAGCAGAGGGTTGGACTAGAAGATCTCCGAGGTCCCTTTCAGCCCTGTGGTTGTACAAAGCCCTTCTTTCTGCAGAGCAGATGTGCAAACACCTGCCCGCTTCAGGCAGTATCCAAGCCCCTGCCCTATCAATATTCAAACAGGAGTCCCACAGTCAACAGCATGGAAATAAAACGCTGCTCTCTGTTGCTCCAGCAATGACTTGCAGACTTGGCTTATTTTTTTTTCCTTTTCTCATGCAGGTGTCGGCAAGAGCAGTTTGCTGCTGCGTTTTGCAGACAACACCTTCTCAGGTAAGATGGGCACATTGGCACTGCCAGTGGAGCCTTCAGCCAAGGCTCCCTAGGGGTGTGTGTGTGTGTGAAAATTGAAGAATATGCATGAGTTTGGGTCCAGCCTATCTGAGGAACTGCCTTGCCCCATTAGAATTGGCTCGTCCTACTCCAGGGGTCTTCAAACTTGGCCCTTTTATGACTTGTGGACTTCAACTCCTAGAATTCCTCAGCCATCGTGCCTACGAAGAGCCCATCAGCCAAGGGATTTGGGCTGGCGGGGTCTAGAAGAGCCTTTTCTTCCATGAATAATGAGAGTTTGGGGGGAGGGGTGTTAAAAAAATAGTTTCAATGGGATAGATGAATGGAAACGGTGCGAGGCCAGAAATATTTTCCCTAATTTGTCAACCTCCGAAAAAGGATTCCTAGCCAATTTTGCATCATTCAGAAGCAGCCAACTGCTGCTTCTGAATGATGCAGTCTGTAATTGGCTCGTTGCCGGTAGTACCCTCAGAAACCCCCACAATTTCTGTGCTGTTCTCCCCCCCCCTCCACAGGCAGTTACATTACCACAATTGGGGTCGACTTCAAAATTCGGACCGTTGAAATCAATGGGGAAAAAGTCAAGTTACAGATCTGGGACACTGCGGGACAGGAGCGCTTCCGGACTATCACCTCAACGTAAGTCTGTTTAAAAACCCGATCAGATAACTGGATTTAAGTCATGGCTTTGTTCTGATAAGATGAAAGACCCCGATTTCTTCTCCCTGGCTATTGTTTATTTCCCTCTCCTCCAGTTTGCCTCATGAGTCAGATTGTAATCTGTGAAAGGTACAAAATGTGAAAGCGTTTGTGGGTTCTTGTCTTCATATAATACAGTGGTACCTCAGTATTCCTGGTTACTTTTTTCCGCGAGATATGATGAGTACCCAAAACGATGAGTATCAAACCATTTTCTCCCCCGTAAGGAATGATGTAGTGAGTCACAAGGCATCCGACAGCGACAAGTTCTAGCTTGTGCCTTGAGAACCAAACAGACGATGAGTACCGGGACAACATTTTCATGTCAAAATGCATTGAGTATCAACTTTGATGAGTTTCCAAGCAGTTGAGTACCAAGGTACCACTGTAATCAAGGTTCTGAGCCAGTGGGGGAATTTAGGAATTTTAGCCTTCTAGATATGATTGGAATAGAACTCCCAACGTCCTCTCAAGGACTGTGAGAAGTGGATTTCAGAAAGCCCTACTCAAAGTCCCACCAAAACTGTAGTTTAATTTGCTCCTGAATTAGCAAAGAAGGGTGGCTAAAATTACTGGCTTGGTCTGAGTAGGTCCTCAGTTCTGCATGAGACGGTGTTACAACCCAGAGTGGGAGCTGAGCTTGATACGAGCCTTTTCTGTCTTTGCTGCCAGCTCCCTTTCACACAAACGGACATATGAATAGCGCTGAGGTTTTGTTTTCTATAGAGGAGGTTGTCATAGAATCCTGGCAAAGCGAGTTCAGGGGAAGAAATGAGAGGCTAGCTCTGAATCATTGCACACTTGAAAAGGGGAAAAACCCCACCGAAGTCATTTGAATGCTTTGACGCTTAAATCTTTTTTATCCTAGCAGGGATGATTAATCTGTCCGGTTTTAGCCATTTCATTTGCGCCCTTTTCATTCGAGCGGGTTGTTTGCTAGGGAGAATAAGAATAAGACATTTACAGTATAATATTTTTCACTGGCTTACTGGTCTGCTTTTTTCAAAGAAACCTGAGAATTGTGAGGAAGTCAAGGTATTTCCAGCGGCGAATTTCCATTACCTAAAATAGATTTGTAAGGTTGCTTTGGAAGAATTCTTGAGTGGCCTAAAATACCTTTGCTCTATACATACGCCTTCACCACAGGCCTTCTATGTAAAGGGCAGGGCTTGATTTAGAGCAGATGATATTTGAAATGTTGGGTTCATTGTCTCAGCTTTGCACCAGCTTCATGGAGGTAGGGAGAAGAGGGAAAGCTAAGCAAAAGAACCACATTCCAATTTGTCATTGATCGATCAATTTGATGGGTGCTGCTTTTCGCAGGACGGATAGAGGAAATCAATGCTTAGATTAGATTAGATTTGTATTGACATGTTGAAGGAATAGGCTATAATCTGCCACACTAGTCCAGTGCAGATTGGCAGATGTGATTGGTGTTAAGTCTCAGGTATCTAACATATGCTGGTGAAACATGGCCACTAACCTCACAATCGATACAAAAGCCACAAGTGGCACAAGGAGACATGGAAAGAGACATGCTCAGCACCACAAGACAAAATAGAAAGACCCGCACATGGATTGGAGAACAAACGAAAGGATACAATCATCGTCAAGAGAGTCAAAGAATGGAGATGGAAATGGGCTGGTCACATAGCCAGAAGAACTGAGGGCAGGTGGACCAAGGAGGTCCTAGAATGGATCCCACTTGATAGGTAGGAAGGTAGGTAGGTGGGTGGGTGGGTGGATAAAGATCCAACCTAGAATTAAGGAGAAATTTCCTGACAGTGAGAACAATTAATCAGAAGTTGTGGGTGCTCCCATCACTGGAGATTTTTAAGAAGAGACTGGACAGCCATTTGGCTGAAATGGTTTAGGGTCTCCTGCCACGGGCAGGGTGGTGGACTAGAAGACCTCCAAGGTCCCTTCCAGCCCTATGATTCCATGTTCTATTGATAAGTCTTTGTGGATTGGACTAGAATACGTCTGATAAGACATCACATTTTGCAATTAGGGGAGGAAGATTCTGCCAAACCCCCAAATTTCTTTTAAAAAAAACACTGGAATGATTGCATAAGTGTACCTTAAGGACTCTTTGCGCCCTTCTTAAGACCGTGTTGAGTGCACGGGGCAGAGCCAACCCCGACTTCCTCACTGATCCAAAAGCGTATCCTTTGTGGTTTGTGGTTTGTGAGCCAGCCTATGGCAGGAAATGGTGAAGGGGTGTAAAAGAGGCACTTGCCGACAGAGAGAGACGTGTGTCAGCGTCTCATTGACAGTGTCAGCAGATCTTTTCTTCCGGGTGATGTGCGTATACAACCAACAATGGTGGCTTAGTTGATGTCTGATGCTGGCTCCTACAGGGAAAACCGCGAAAGGAGATTTCTAAATGAGAACAGAAAAATCTATGCCCCTGATCCAGCTCTCCATGCAGGGCGACGCCTCGGGCGGAGCGTGTCCTGAAGTTCCCCAAACGTGTAACCACATGGTGTGTGGAGTTTGGCTGAGGATCTCGGGTTTTTTCAGAAGAGTGAAAGAGAGAGTTAGTTTTTTTAAATCTTTTCTGACTTCTACCGGTAGGAAGATTGCTTAAGCAATCCCACGAGGCAGAACAGTTTCAACATCAGACTTCCTGCCCTGGTGATGCTGAACTTCACTATCCTGTCTGCAGTTGGCCGGGCCCACTATTAACAATAATAACTTTATTGTCACTTGGAATGTACAATAATCGGCACACATTAAAATGGAATTTCATTGCATGCAGCCCTCATGAGTCAAGGATTACCTGGACCAAGTTCCTTCTGCTTTTGGTCTACCACAGACTCAGCCAGCTCTCTTTTCTTTGGTCTCAGCCAAAGGCTTGGTCTGTTTCTTCTTTTGTTATCATCTCTTCTCAGCTTCTTCCTTCACGACTCGTGGGTGTGTGTGTGTCTCCATATATGTCTATTTCTTTCCCAACAGCCGAGGGCTTTATGGGGACAGAACGATAATATAGGCAGTCCTCGACTTAACGGCCACAGTTTGAGCCCAAAATTTCCGTGGCTAAGTGAGGCAGTTGTTCAGTGAGCTTTGAGACCCATTTTACGACCTTTCTTGCCACAGCTCTTAAGTGAATCCCTGCAGTTGACGTGAGCCAGTTGCCAGGCTGCATGAATTTGGATCACGTGACCCCCAGGGGAGGCTGCAACGGTCGTAAGTGTGGGAAAACGGTCATAAGTTCTGTTTTTCAGCACCGTCGTAACTTCGGGCGGTCACTAAACAAACTGCTGCAAGTCAAGGACTGCCTGTAATGTAAAAACAAAGAGAGAAGTCATAGGTCCAGTGGGGAGAATTTGACACATGCATTAAAGCAGGGGGTCTTCAAACTTGGCCCTTCGATGACCGTGTGCCTGGCTGAGGAATTCTGGGAATTGAAGTCCACAAGTCATCAAAGGGCCAAGTTTGAAGACCCCTGCATTAAAGCCTCTGAAAGAGTCTCTGTGGTCGATGTTGGTCCATCTGCTGTCCTCAGGATCCATGCGGGTTTTTCAGAATCAACAGAGTTGGAAGGGACCTTGGAGGTCTTCTAGTCCAACACCACCACCACCCCCGCTCAAGCAGGAGACCCTAGATCATTCCGGACAAATGGCTGTCCAATCGCTTCTTCTCCAACAATGGAGCACCCATCTTCTCCCCCCCCTCCCCAGGCTTCCTTCAAGAAGGTTGTGATTATACCTAGGACTTCTCCATGCCGAATTTATGCCCTGGCCTTGATATGTTCGATGTTATGACTGGAGGAGTGACCTTTATTTTTCAGTGCTAGAGTCCCGAATGATGATATAACAAAAATGGAGGTTTTGTCCTTCAGCCTTCGTCCGTATCTCTCTATGGTAGGATTCCTAAGACACATTGCAGGGGAAGGTCATCTTTTAGTATCTCCAGCTGCCCCCCCCCCCGTTCCGACACCACCACGCCTTCCAACAATGTTGAGACTTTAGAAAAAGTGCAGAGAAGAGCAACAAAATTAGAGGCTAAAACATAGGAAGAACGGCTGCTGGAATTGGGTATGTAGTTTAATGAAGAGAAGGACGAGGGGTGACATGATAGTAGTCTTCCAATATCTCAGGGGCTGCCCCAAAGAAGAGGGAGTCAAGCTATTCTCCAAAGCACCCAAAGGCAGGACAAGAAGCAACAGGTGGAAACCAATCAAGTAGAGAAGCAACCTAGAAATAAGGAGATATTTCCTAAAAGTGAGAACAATCAACCAGTGGAACGACTTGCCTCCAGAAGTTGTGGGTGCTTCATCACTGGAGGCTTTCAAGAAGAGACTGGACAGCCACTATATATCAGAAATAGATAGGGTCTCCTGCTTGAGCAGGGGGTTGGACTAGATGACCTCCAAGATCCCTCCCAACTCTGGTATTCTGTATACTATTCTTCTCTGTATACTGTTTCTTCTCTCCTGAATTTCTCATGTGCTCGAGGGAGGCTCCTGGGGACAGCAGTTGTCCCCAGCTCACAAAGTCCTCTCCATGGCAATCTGATACTTCAAATCTGCCAATTCTGCTTCCCACAGAGCCACATCATGCGCTTCCCCCATCGCATTAACGCGCTGAAAGAAGAGCCAGCAACCTGGCTGATCTCTTTCTCTCTCTTTTTTTTTTCTTTCCCCTTTTCCACCACCTTCCAAGCTCTGGATTCTAGTTGATTCCGTTAATCTGAGGATTTAGAGAGCTCTCCGCAGCCGTTGCTTCCCCAAAATACATCCGTATTTTTTGTTTTCTTACAGTAAGGAAGCAGGAGAAGAATTCTTTAAAATCAGAGAAGCGTCCTTGTGAACTCTTGTGCTACCGGAGCTCTTTTAACACACTCTTGTGTGTGTTAAAATCAGGACCCAATCTGAGTTGGTCCCTGGGACCAAAGGCTTTATTCTTCCAAGCTTTTGGCCTTGTGCTGGGGTCCATCACCAGGGAACTTCTCTGTCTCCCCAGAATATGCGCACCTGGGCTGTTCTGCGCATTGCACTCATCTGGCTCCTGCTTGCGTGCAGCTTTTAGTTGTTAATTATTAATTAAATTCATTAAGTCCCTTGTGTGTCCACTCACACTTGGCCAATAAAGAATTCTATTCTAATTTTACGAGGGTGTTGGTGGCTGGCTATTAAGTCGTGAATTGTTGTTTCCTTGTGCCATATAATGTGCCAAATAACCATATAAATATGACACATAGAAGAGCCCACTCAGTGCACACATTCTGGAGAGAGCGTTGACGGTCCCAGCCCAAGCCCAAAAGCTCGAAGGCTAAAACCTCTGGTCCCGGTGACCAGTTCAAATTGGATCTTGCAAAATTATCCCGGGACACTTCTTTTTAACCTTCATTTGCAGTGTTCAGTGGGTTTTGGATGTTAAGCGGTTGTTATCCTTCCATTCACGTTGGGGTTCTAAAGTCAATTGATTGATAATAGTGGAAATGTAGACTGTCCACTGAGAACGCCTTCCTCAGTTTGATGGTCAACGTGTCGGACTTCAGCTTTTAGGATTGCCTGAAATTAGAGCCTATCTAAAGTGCACTAGAAGAAGAAGAAGAAGCCAGCAGAGCTGGAAAGGTGTTTAAGGTGAACTTGGATGAATTTGAGGATCATGCCTTGATAACGGTTATTTCTCTGCCCTCAGGTACTACCGAGGCACCCACGGGGTCATTGTGGTTTACGATGTCACGAGCGCGGAGTCTTTCGTGAATGTCAAGCGGTGGTTGCATGAAATAAACCAGAACTGCGACGATGTGTGCCGGATATTAGGTAAACCTCTCTGGGTTTGGGGAAGGTTTTGATAGAGCAAGGCCCGGCCATCACTGCTAATCCAGATTTTATATCTGCTTTGAGCCGTCGACGGCTCCGGATCCACTTTTCACCAGTTTGCAGCCGTGACTTTTGGTTTCCCTTTGCTCTCCTAGTTGGCAATAAGAACGATGATCCAGAACGGAAAGTGGTGGAGATGGAAGACGCCTATAAATTTGCTGGGCAGATGGGCATCCAGCTGTTTGAGACCAGTGCCAAGGAGAACATTAATGTGGAAGAGGTAATTGGGAAAGACGATGGGGGTGCCAGTAACTCTTCAAGAGCCCAGCGCCACAGGCTACGGACGAAAAATAGATGTTGTAAATAGTGTTTGTTGATGTAATAGTCGTTGCTTCACAAGTGCATGGAACAACATAGGAGATCTAAGCCATCAGAGATTCAGCAGTCAGCAGTCCCATCTATTTGAAAGATAAGGGTCGCTCTTTTGAAGACAGCAAAGTCCATATTTTGGATAGAGAGGGCCATGACTGGAATCAAGGCCTCCAGAGCCCCTTTCCTAACTGCCTCCCCGCCTTTTCCTTTCCTTTCTTCCCCATCTTCTCATTTCTCATTTTGTTTTCCTCATCTTCTCATCTTTCCTATTATCTTCTCCTCTTGGTATTTTAGGATTGACCACTTGTTTGTATTTTAGGATTAACGGCTGTATACGATGATTTATGACCTATCCCTTCGTGGTTTTTTATGTACTTTGAGAGCTTATGCACTGGAGACAAATTCCTTGTGTGTGTGTGTGTGTGTGTGTGTGTGTGTATCCAATCACACTTGGCCAATAAAAGAATTCTGTCTGTCTATCAGATGTTCAACTGCATCACGGAGTTGGTTCTTCGGGCTAAGAAGGACAACCTCGCAAAACAGCAGCAGCAGCAACAGAACGACGTGGTGAAACTCACAAAGAACAGTAAACGGAAGAAGCGGTGCTGCTAATGGCCTTCCTCCTCCTCTTCCTCCTCCTCCTCCACCTCCGGGGGCGGCAGAGACTGGGCGTTCGGGCAGCCCCGCTGTCGCAGCCTGGCGCAGGCGATACCCCAGGACTCTTCCCCCCCCTCCCTGCGTGCCGTTATTTAAAGGAGTTCCCTCCGTCTTCTCGATCAGGAGGCACCTTACCGTGTCCGTGCCAAGAACAGGATGGGACGGAGCTGGTTCCGCCCGACTCTTTCCATCCTAAGGTTTATTTTTGTTCCCGCCCCTCTTGAAGAGCATCTGGTAGACAGCCCTGACTTTGCCTACCAAGGGGACTTGAGCATTTGTACATAATGTATATTGGCTTTAACCAGCTGCATCTCCTTGTGTCGCTTCGGGCTTCTGCCTTCTCTGACTCCACCAATCATGAATTGTTCAGAACTCTCTTTTTTTTATTTGTTTGTTTACTTGCTCTCTTCTTCAGCCTTCGTTAGCCTTTAAGCAGAAGTGGATCCTTGGTGATCATCTGGAGAACGTTTTGAAATCCTTTTCCCCCCAAAACTCTGGAATAATTGATGTTCCCAGAGTTGTTTTGTTCTCTGTCCTTCGGTCCCCTCCTTCAAGAGAAGGAAAGATCCCACTTTTATAACCCAAAGGCATCCAAACCACCGCAGCAGAGAAAAATTAGGATTAAAACTTGTATTGACTACCTCCAGGTAGTATCCCCGTCCTTGTAAAACTTCAGAACGAAAATCATCTCTTTCTCTCTTTCTCTCTCTCTTTTTTTTTTTTTATAAGTGTGTGTCATTCTGTGCCAGGTATGAAGTGTAAATGCAGAAATGTGCTTCTGATGGGATCAATTCTTCGTGGTTCTCCTCTTCCTTTCCCCCTCCCCTTAATTTTTTTCCCTTTTCTTTCAAAAGCTGGAGAATTTGGGAAGGGATGGCTGGATGGTTTTTGTTTGTTCTCCATCAGAACAAAATCTGCCTCTTGATTCCGATTCTAGCTGCTGAAGAGCGAATGGTTCTTCTAATTAGGTTAAAACAAGGTAACATGAGCTTCAGCCAGCATATAATCACCAGCTTCTCAGTGTTGATTTGCCCCCCTCCCAGAGCATATCAAGGGGGCAAAAAGCCACATCATCCTCAAATCACCGTGATGTCCCACCCTGTGTTGTCCAGCATCTGATGTTGACCGTGTTCATGTTAAGACACGGCCATCAGTGTCGAACTTTGGACTTCAAATCTTGCTGGAAGGGCTCAGCAGAACCTCCCCGTTTATCGTCTGGCTGCTCTTTAGGAGAGGAAGCAGCTACCGCCATCCCACTCGAAGCAGTGACGAGTTCCCGCTAGCAGAAGGGCGTCCTCCATTTCAGCACGCTGTTTTTCACCGCGGACCTCTCTATGCATTTCTCGTTGAGATACTTCCGACCTTGTCCAGGACGCTTCAGGCCCTGAGCAATTCATGATTCAGAAGAAACGAGGAGAGCCTGTCCAGATGAACGAGAGCAGGACCTAGGCGTGGAGTGGGTGCAGCTAGAAGCAACGGGGGAATTCTCACCGGTGGGCATTTTCTCTAGTGGACAGGCGAGGGGGTGTGGAGGGCTATTTGGTAAGCCTGGAACCCACGTTCTCCCTGGGAAGAGTGGGATGCTTCCCAAGGCTGCCTCTCCACCGGGTCTGTTCAGCCGGGAGGCTGCAACTTAACCTCCAGACAACAGTTGTGAGCGAAAGGGACAAAGTGATGGATGGGGCTGGTGCACAGGGTTGGGGGAGGGAAGGGAAAGGGGAAGGGGCTGCACCTTAGCAGTGCTAATGTCGAGCAGTGAAATGTCTTAACTGGTTTGCTTAGATGATTTCTGTATATGGGAACTTTCTAATTAACGCTTTTTAAATAATTTAAAAACAAAAAAAAGAAAAAATAAAAGGTGCCAAGCTGCCACAAGCTTCCCCCCAGGCCGATCCGGTCTTTGCTTCTCCTCGCCTGCAGCGGTCGAAACCGCTGGCAGAGCCCCTGAAATCTTGGGGCTGATGGCTGGGAAGTTGAGGCTCTCTCACGAAAGGGGTTTTGCCCATCGTCTTTTCTGCACAAAAGAGGGGAGGGGGGGGCGGCTGCGGGGTTGAATTCCCAAGCTGAGTTGGCCAAAATCTGTCTGTCTTTTTGGGTGGACGTAAACGGGGTAGTAAGTAATAATGTTGCATTGCCTGTGTGTGATTGTGAGTTTTCCCATGCTAAGTTGAGGCGGCCACAAGTAGCAATTGGATCCTCAGGTAGCAGGGAACACAGATTGTTTTTTTTTTCTTACGCTAACAATTCCAAGAGAGAGTGTTGAACTGTTTAAATAAATAAAATTTAAAAAAAAATCCACCTTGAAACAGAAAATACCTTTTTTGTGTGTGTGTTGTGTTTATATGGGTGTGCGCGGAGTGGGACAACTCGCCACGGGACGATTTAACAATTCCATTATTTAAAATAAATAAAAAATGGTTTTGATTTGTGTCGTTCACGTTTCATTCTGTCCCTCCTTTCGTACTTTTTCTTTCACGGTTCTGTTTCACCGTTTCTTCTACATTAGCGTAATTCTCGTCCTGCAGCAAGTGGGTGAGTTGGCCGTGGCGGGTTGTCCTACATCCGTGTGCGCATGTGTGACATCAGACTATATTTGCTACGTCACTCTAAATCACTGTTTCTCAATCTCAACCACTTTTGAAGACGCATGGACTACAACTCTCCAACTTCCCCAGTCCCTCAATATGTTTATCCTGGGGGGGGGGGGTTGTGCAAATGCAGCCTCTGTGATAATTCAGGCCTCCTGCAGTCCCAGGCCACACACAGAAAGCCTTTGAAAAGCTCAGGAGGCATCAAATCATTCAGTGGGTTACATCTCACCGGTTGGCTAAGCAAACCACAATTGGCTGAATCCACTCCCCATGTGAGAATGTACGTCTCCGTGCTTAACTTGCGCAAATTGAGACATTTGCCCCCCCCCCAAAAAAAAGTAGGTATGCATGTACAGGTAATCCTCAAGACCATTGTTGGGAACAATTTCTGCGTGAATTGCGCATGGTCTTACATGCATGTGTGACATTAAGCCCATCACTGCACTTGTTAAGTGATGGTCACTGAACGAATCCAACTTTCTTCATTGACTTGGCTTGCCGGAACGACAATCGCACGACACCGGGACATTGCAACTGTCATAAAAATACGCCAGTTGCTAAGCCCCTGAGTCCTGATCCTATGACCACGGGGATGGTGTGCAAGAACTGGTCATAAGTCCCTTTTTTCATTGCTACTGTAATGAAACTTCAAACAAATTGATAAGCAAATGATGGCCAGTTGCGAACAATCAGTATCCCCACGGTTTAGCTTTGCATGTTTTGTCGGCAAGACCCTTTTAATTTGTTAAATTGGGAACAATCACCAGCTTCGGAGAAGGTTGGCTGAATTGATGTCCTCTATCTTCGTTGCTTCAGTCCAGAAGCGGTCCACGTTCCCACCCTCCTTTCGTAGGCGGCCATCTCGGCCACTCTTGTAGAGCAATCGGACAGCAATTTCAAATTGAACGAGGATGGTTGAACCCCCGTCTTGGACATCCCTTGAACTCCACTGAAGATGTTACCTAGCCTGGTAACGAAACGTTGGGAAACCAACCTACAAACTCGGAGAACGGAGCTCCGCCTTCCCCCGTCTTTGAAGACCACGTCCACCTTGATTGGCAGGAGGAGAACCCGTTTCCCCAAAGAATCAGGGAGAGCGCCACATTTTCTACTAAAATATGCCTTTATAGAATATCTTATAAAAACCGTACAGTTATATACAGGACTGCTACGTACAAAAATTACGATATGGTTTGGTATGTACACAGACCTATATAAATACATTCTGTCTGCCCGCTCCAGCAATGTGCTTTATTTCACCCCTCCTTCCCTCCACGCACCCACCCCACCCACCCCCCAGTAAACCCCACCCCCAGTGACCAGCCAAACCAGTTTCCCAGTTTCTCTGGCACAGGGGAAGATGCCAGTCGGATCCCAAACCGAGGGCAAAGCTGCCTTCGGTTCCCAGCCCTCTTCCCTGGCAGTGACCTCTTGGACTACATGTCCCATCATTCCCAAACATTCCAACAACATCCATGCAGGTGGGGCAAAGGGGGGGGGAGGGAAATGTAGTGCCCTACATCTCCCAGTGGGCACCATCTTTAAGGGCTGGCTGATAACCGGGCTACGACTACAGCAGAGGATATAAGCTGCACATCATGGCTAATCAAAGACTTCTCCGTTATCGGGCTGAAAAATTAAACCTTTTCAAAAATAAAATAAGGGAGGAGCAAAATGTTTTATGTGCAAGGATTTCCTTTAACGGTGGGATTCCTCACCCATCTCGTCTCTCTGCCTTCTGAAAGGGGATTTTCCCACCTGTCACCAGAGTCCAGATCTGGATGCATTTCCGTTTTTTTCCCCGTTTATTCTGTTCTTCTCTCCTTTAGCCCTCCACAGTGTAGGAAGTTGGGTTGTGGGTTTAACTCCCTACAGAACGGACTATTGTCCACGCAACCTTGCCTAAGGGAGTCCTCGACTTCTGAGCCCAACATTTCCGTCGCTAAGCAAGACAGTTGTTAAGCGGCTTTTGCTCCATTTTGCGACACTTAGCCACCGTTGTTAAGGGACTCACTCCGGTTGTTAAGGGACTCATTCAGTCGTGAAGTGAATCTGGCTTGACTCTGCGGGTTAGAAAGTCGCAAAAGGGGATCTGCAACCGTCCTAAGTACATGCCAGTTGCCAAGCCTCTGAATTTTGAACACTATGACATTCGGGATACAGCAAGGGTCGTTTAAGTGTGACAGCCGGTCCCACGTCACTTTTTTCAGTGCCGTTGTAACTTCAAACAGTCACTGTACGGACGGTTGTAAGTTGAGGACTCCCTGAACTCGGTTGCTTTTTTCCTCTTCCCCTTTTTTTAAAGATGGGAGCCGTCCCCCGGGAGCTCAGCTATGGAAAGATGAAGGGCCACCGTCTCTCCTGCAACCCTGGGACACCTCCATGAGCTTTTTGACCAAGAGGCAGAAGACTTAAGAAACGTAGGTAGGTTGTAAGAACAATGGATGACACAAAGGTTGTGTCTTTTCAAGGGCAACAGCTTGGGGGTTGAACCAACTCCACTAGCTTCACCTAAGTCTTTTTCCTAGTCTAATCTTTGGCCCCTGAGGAAGAAGATAGGTCTCACCCAGTTGCTCAACCATTGTTCCTAAATCGGCAGTCGATCTCCTTTCCTTGGTCTCCTCCTTCTAGTTGTTCCACCTACTATCACCCCCTGGTTCGCCTCCCCACCTAGATTACGGGAAAGGTAGCAAACGAACGACCAGCAGACCCCAAATTCCATAAAGGGAACAATTTTTCCCAGCAATTGCTTTCATTACACTACTTCAACCTCAAATGATGGTAGCCATCTTTGCTGGAGAGGGGTGTCAGTAATATTGGAAGAGTCTGAAGCCCCTCCCCATGTCATTCCAGTGCAGGATAAGCTCACAGCTTCCTGCACTGATATCCAGACACTTATTATTATTTTTAAACTACCTTCCTCCTCTGAATTTTCCTAGCGCAATCTCTGTACTACTGCATCTACTCAAAAGAAACTCCCATCGGGAACATAAGTATCCCGAACAAGCCAATCACACTGTAGCTCAGCTTGTGGTGTCAACTCCTAAACTTGGGTTAAGGAGTAAGGCCGTGTTCCATTAACCCTAGGTCAGGAAGATTGTCTGAATACAGCCATCATCTCAGGTGGCTTCCAACCAAGCATACAGGGATGACTTATGTTTTATTGGCCATATATGTTGGGATTCTATTGCCTACACCTGTCCAACAGCGCCGATACTCTTCTTGGTTCAGGAGCTCAGAAAGCACCAGATTACATCCAGGCCAGTCTTTACTAACCCAGGTTGGCTGGGGATGGTGGAAGTCATCATGGTCTGAATTCCGGGGGAGGAACACTTTGGAAAAAAACGATGTATAAAGGTGGTCGGAGAGAAACAAACAATCTAGCTGGCTGAGGAATTCTGGGAGTTGAAGTCCACAAGTCTTCAAGGTGCCAGGTTTGGAGACCCCTGACTTAGATGTTTCAAACTACCAGTCATTGGAACAACTTAATTCTATCTGACCAGCTTCTTCTTCTTCTTCTTCTCCTTCTTCTGGAGCTTTAAAGTAGGGAGCTGTAAGAAGCTATCTCCATGATGCTAATTTTAAAAATCTGCAGAGCTGCCGTTTCCTGCTGCTATAACCTGATCACTCAAAAAGGACCTCAGTAAGCGGCGATCTTGGCTCTGCTGGAGCTATTGTTCCCAAGTTTATTGCTCCCAGAGTGGTGACCTAAGAGTGGGGGAGACCCCAGTTCTAATCTCACCATTATTTAGTCCCAGAAGATCCCTGGGAGACATTGGACCCCAAAAGCAGAGTGGTGTAGAGATGAAGATCCTCAACTAGAAGCTGGGAGATGCAGTCCAACCTCAGCCATGGAAGATGCCTGGGTGATTTGGGGGCCAGTCAAGTGGCTCCCAGCCCAGCTACCTCATAAGTGCATACCCCAAAAATATAAAATATTAATACTGGATTTTTAAGCAGGAAGACTGGATTTCTATCTACCTACAACCTCTTTCTTCAGCTGGTGTTTTCCAGATGTGTTGGGCCAGGCTCCCTTCCTTATCAACCTGTACAGGACGGGTCCAAGATCCCTGGAAGATGGGTTGAGGAAGGTGGTTCTAGAACCAAGAGGCATCCTTCTCACAGAGGCAATAGAACAATTGCTGGAAGGATAAGCAATCTCTGATGGAATGGGCTATTTTAACCCCCAACGGGCTATTTTAACCCCCTTCTTATTTTCTCTGGGTCTTCTCTGGAGAGCTATGGCTCAGATAGTCTGGTGGCTAGTGATGGAGAAAACCTGGGGTCTTTTGAAGGTTTCTCCTGGAGGCAGTAGGATCCTCCTCTTTCTAGAGAGAAGATCCCGCTTATCATTTCCCCTCTGCCCTAGTTTCAACCTGACCTCCGGGGACAAGGAGACAGACCAGTTAAGGATGGAAGCGAGCGTTATGGATTTGGACAAGGAAGAAGTATCCTTTCCAGATTTTGCATAATGCTTAGCTGGTCTTCAAAAGGTCTGCAAGATCTGCTTCTGGAACACAGGACTTGGGTCACCTGCTCTCCTGAATGAAGGAAAAGTGGTTTTCCCTGAACACTTTCCCATCTGAACTGTAGCGTTGCTGAAAGAAGGCAAGGGAGTAGAGTCACAATCACACCACCTAGCCAGCCCCATGCTCTTCAGACAACCCAATTCGTGTCAAGTAACCAGAAGCAAAACACACAGAGAGAGATATGGGGCTTCACTTGAATTTTGACCTCTCTGTGGCCTCTTAAGGTCATACAGACCAACTACGAACAAGGTTTCCTTCGCTCTTGGGCCTGCACGGACATGAAACCTGGTCCAGATTTTGAAGGATTTGGGCATTCTCACTTCTAAGTTCTCATTATTCCCCAAGTTCATGAGATCTTAGGCCAGCCTACCGGGACTGCTTTTGGAAGATCTTGTTAACGGAGGAGGTGTTAAAATTTCTTCTCAGTTGATGCTCTGTCCCCACAAATACCTTCTAGAAGATGTTTTGGGAGGTCCCCAAATATTGTATTTCCACCTTGTGACTAGGCAATCCAGAAGAACAGCTAGTTGATAAGACATTTAGTGCTTATCCTGCTGTTTTTTTATGCCAGTCCAATTTTTCTCTCTGTCTTTCTACCCAGGGGTGGGCAATCTTGGCTCTTTCATGACTCGTGGACTTCAACTCCCAGAATTCCTGAGCCAGCACGGCTCAGCTTGGAAACCTCTCCCTTTCCCCTCAGCATGGCTGGCTCAGGAATTCTGGGAGTTGAAGTCCACGAGTCATAAAAGAGCCAAGGTTGCCTACCCCTGTCCTAGCCCTTATGTGCAATTCAGGCAGACCTCGATTTACAGCCACAGTTGAGACCGACATTTCCATTGCAAGACAGTTGTGGAGGGAGTTTTAGCTCACTTTACGACCTTTCCCACCACAGCTGTTAAGTGAATCATTTAGTTGTTAAGTGAATCTCCCTTCCCCCGTTGAACTCGGCACGTAGGAAGCCAGATGAGAAGCTTACCCATGGTGATCACGTGACCCCGGGGGATAGCGCAACCGTCATAAGTACGTGCCAGTTGCCGAGCACCCGAATTTCGATCACGTGACCCTGGCGATGCTGCCAGGGTCGTAAGTATTCAGTGCCGTTGTAACTTTGAATGGCCATTAAACGAATGGATGTAAGTCGAGGACTACCTACAGAAGGAAACCCAGATTGGAGTCTAACCAAAGCTGATGGTGGTCCATTAAGAGGTCAAGGATACCCTTCCCTGTTAATGCAAAGAGATGGACAAGGGGGTCTGTAAAAGTGAATCGAACCTCACAGCTTGCGTGTCTGTGTGTCTGGGAGTGTGATGCACGCAAGGGCCGGATGGCCTTTTGGCAGGAGGTTGCATGACGATCAGGGCTGGGGGACCATCTGCCACCAGCTTCTCACAGCTTCCTTCCTGACACACACACACACATACCCCATCACCCACCCAACAGGAATAGGGGGAAACGAGGACTGCTCCCTTCCGATTAATTTTTCTTGAAAAAAGAAAACAGGCGGTTCCCTTCGGCCCCAACCGGCTCGGAGCCCTGCTGCTGGAACCTCAGCAGAGGCGAAGGCCGGGCGCGACGCTTGGCTCCGTGGCTGCTGCTGCTGGTGAAGTTGCACGTCATTATCTGGCTCCATTCCTTAGGATGTCTGTCCATCAGCTGCTGGTCGATGAGCCTCTGCATGTCATCCTACGGCCAGGAAGAGAAAAGCTGTTCAGGAGAAGACAGTGACGATGGAAGGGGGAGCGAGAGACAGCAGGGGTCCACAACCCTCGGGCCGTGACCCTATCAAGAACACTGCAGAATTCGTGGAGAGCTTCAGCATTCAAACAAATCAGCCATCCACAGACCCATAGGGGTAAACCATATTTACACATCATTCAAAAGAGACAACAAAGGAGGAAACTAAAAGACCAAAACACGTTCTCTCCAGTAGCCAGTAGAGAAACGAAGATTAATCCCAGACAAACAATCAAGCAGAAAATAATACCCTAATTAAAGAACTACCAAGAAGAAAAACCCCACCTTCACAAGCACTGGCAGGGCAAGTGCTGTTTATAGACAGAACAAACCCCACGTTGTCCAGCAACATTGATGATGTTATTTAGTTGGGTAATGAAATGTTTGCAAAGCGAACAAACCAGCTCGGAGAAGACCAAGGACTCCACAAATATTCCCTTCTATTAAACAAGAGGCAGGCCAGCAAAGTGACAAAGACACTTTTTTCAGATGAGGATCCGACTGCGAAAGATACCTGGACAATAAGTTGTTCATACCTTTCAACACGGACGAGGCACCCATAGTTTATGTAGGACACTTGCATTCCTTCCCTTTCAAAACGGAGGTTAGCTACCTACCTTCCCGCAGACGGTATCTGCTTCGACACCGTGTTTCCGAAATTCGGCGTCTCAGTGACCAACTTCTTGCCGTGCAATTTATGACCCATTTTCTACGCAAGGGGTGGTTTTGAAGCGGGCAGGGGGAGGGTTTTTCCACCTCCCCCACTCTGAAATCACGCCGATGCCCCGTGTAGCAACATCTCGGCGTCCCCAATAGTTTCCGAAAACAACAACTTGACCAGGAGATCTCCAGGTCTCCTGCCTTGAGCAGGGTTGTTGAACTAGAACAGGGATAGGCAACCTTGGCTTTTTTATGACTCGTGGATTTCAACTCCCAGAATTCCTGAGCCACATGGCTCAGCTTGGAAACCTCTCCCTTTCCCCTCAGCATGGCTGGCTCAGGAATTCTGGGAGTTGAAGTCCACCAGTCATAAAAGAGCCAAGGTTGCCTACCCCTGAACTAGAAGACCTCTTGAGGTCACTTCCTGCCCGACGATTCTATGTTCTATGGGTCTAAACCAGCGGTGGGCAACTAGGCGACTTTACGACCTGTGGGCCTCAACTCCCAGAATTCCTGGGCCAGCATGAATTCTGGGAGTTGAAGTCCACAAGCCGTAAAGTTGCCTAGTTGCCCGCCCCTGTTCTAAACCTTGCCAGATTCTGCCCCCAAAAGGATGAAGCGGTAGCCGGGTGGGATGGGACAGGAGGGTATGACATGGGAAAGGGAAGAAGCGGGGGGGAGGGGGCGCTCACCTTAAAGGCAGGAGGGGTGTACGACTAAAGCTGTTGTTACGGGAAGTGATAAAGGCCACTAGATCAGAAACCAGAGAAGCCAAATAGTGAAAAGGCCTGAAGAAGCAAACTGGAAAGAGAAGAGAGAGAGAGAGAGAGAAATGACTTCAAGGAGGAGAGGAGGACACGTTCAACCAGGAAAGCTGCGGGAGACGGGGACAGGAAGGCCCACTTGTGATGCCCCCCCTTGTGCATTCAAGGAGGGATTTGCACAAGGCCAAGCAGAGTTTGAGGGGGCCACCACAGAGTCTAGAAAGTGGCCCCCAGTCCCAAGGGCTCAACTTCAAGCCTTGTAAGGGAAGGGAGGAGATTGCGTTGTAGGTAAAGCCTCTTGGGATCTGCTGGCTGGAAGGGGGGGAGACTAGGAGAGCAGGAACTGGGCTGCTGATATCCTTTGAAGGTCAGTTCTGCAGGTCCTCACCCCCAGGAACAAGGACTTCAAGAAGAGCCCACCTCTACTGAACTCTCCTCCTCCTCCTCCCCCTCCTCCTCCTCCTCCTCCTCCTCCTCCTTCTCCTCCTCCTCTTCTTCTTCTTCTTCCTCCTGCCCCTCCTCTTCCTCCTCCTGTTCCTCCTCCTCTTCCCTGCAAACCCCACTCCCTTCTAACACTGATGATGTTACCTACTTGGGTAATGAAACGTCTGCAAGAAAACAAGTCAGCTCAGAGAGCACCAAGCACCCAACAGCCGCCCTCCTCCTCCTCCTCCTCCTCCTCCTCCTCCTCCTCCTCTTCCCTGCAAACCCCACTCCCTTCTAACACTGATGATGTTACCTAGTTGGATAATGAAACAAGCCATTTCAGAGAGCACCAAGCTCCCAACAGTCCTCCTTCTCCTCCTCCCATAAGGGGTTCAATGAATGTGTATCGTCCACAAATTCATCTACTGCGCCATTCAACCCTGGAGAAACAAGGACCCCATCTGGTCCTGCTGGAGCTGAATCTCTGCCAGTTGGCAGGTGACCTTTTGGAGGGATGTCAAGCCACCATCCAAGCCAGCTTTTCCTCCTCCAGAAGCCCTCTTTAGGGGCTTTTTTCCCCCAAGTGTCCCAAGCTGAGTTCCACCAAAGGGGAAGAGGGTTCGGCTGTCTCTCCTCCCTCCGAGAGTCTCAAAGGTTTCACGAAACCCAGCTTACAATGGATCTAACAAAAGCTTGGAAGTAAGAGGAGCAAGACATCCCTTTCCTTTTCCAATCTGAAACCATTTTTCTTGTCCTGACTTATAGTCTGACTGGATCAAAGAGAAGAAACCAGGGAAGGTAAAATGGTGGAGAAAAAGACACTTTTGGGACGTTCGCCCTGGTTCCCTCTACTTCCAGTCTCCTGGCAAGCGAGGCCTTTAGCTATCAAGCCCATGTGGCACTACCCACAAGAAGAACTCTATGGGTTACGTCAGCCTGAGCCTGACTTCCTCTTCCTCCTACCTGCCAGGCTTCCAGCTGCTGCGAAAGGTTAAGCTTCTGTTGAATGGCATCCAACAGCTGGCTGTTCAAGGACATCATATCCATTCTGCATTTGGCCAGCTCCATCTCGACAGCGTTCTTCCTGAAAAGCACAACAAACAGCCACACAACGATTGAGAGACATTTTGGTTTCTGGCAATCCTTTCCTCTCTTCCTGTCACAATTCAGCCTGGTTTAGGTGTCCGGCTGGGAAATATGGGAACTGCAGTCCCAACACACCTCGTGAGTACCAGGCTTGGGAAAGCTGATCCAGATGGCTAACCTACCAAGCAACCGTGGTCATTCATAAGAGTCTGATTTTAAAAAAAATATATCTCTGCCTACGCAGCCGGGGCTGACAGAACACAATCTCCATTGCAAATATCTTTGCGTTGCAAAAGAAAAAAAGAGGAAAAAAAAACCTCATTTAAAAAATTCCCCTCACAGAATGAATATTAAAGATTGGACTTCCTAAGTAGCCAGTTTCCATGGATACCGAAGAGTCGGTAACCTACACACAGCCTAAAATACCAGAAGCTTCCTGTTTTTCTGGCAGTGAAACTCAAAAGCCAACAAATGTTCTCTGATCAGACAAGAGGGGGCAGCAACGAGGTAGCCATTGGGACTCCCCCCCCCAACCAGACACTTTTGGCTGATAACAATCACATCTGTGCTATGGGTCCATCATCAGAGGAACAGAAAAGGAATAAAAGAGGGAGGGAGGGAGGGAGAGAAGGAGGGAAAGGGAGAGGGAGGGAGAGGAGGGAAAGGGAGAGGGAGGGAGGGAGAGAGAAAAGGAGGGAAAGGGAGAGACAAGTGAAAGGGAGGGAGGGAGAAGGAGAGAAAGGGAGAGAGGGAGGGAGGGAGAGAGAAAAGGAGGGAAAAGAAGAGGGAGAGAAAGAGGGAAAGGGAGAGAGGGAGAGGGAGAGGAGGAAGGAGAGGGAGGGAGAGAGAGGAGGGAAAGGGAGGGAGGGAGAAAGAGAAGGAGAGAAAGGGAGAGGGGGAAGGAGGGAGACAGAATGAGGGAAAGGGAAAGGGAGAGAGAAGGAGGGAAAGGGAGAGAGGGAGAGAGAGAATGAGGGAATGGGAGAAAGGGAGAGAGAGAATGAGGAAAGAAAGGGAGAGAGAAGGAGGGAAAGGAAAAGGGAGGGAGAGAGAGAAGATAGAATCATAGGGCTGCAAGTGACTTCTGAGGTCTTCTAGTCCATCCACCTGTTCAAGGCAGGAGACTTTATACCGTTTCAAACGAAGAGCTGTCCAGTCTATTTTTGAAAACTTCCAGAAAATTTCTCTTTACTTCTAGGTTAGATCTCTCTTTGACAAGCTTCCTCCCCCCACCGTTGCTTCTTGCCCTGCCTTCAGGTCTTTTAGAAAATAGGTCCATCCCCTCTTTTTGTGAGACCCCCCCTCAGATATTGAAAGATAATTATCATATTTCCCCCCCCCAATCCTTCTCTTCAATAGGCTGGACACCCTCAACCTCTTCCCAGTGCCCATTCTGCCCCCCCACAAGCTATCAGCTTACTTAGAGATTGCTTCATCTCGGTCTCTGATAGCCTTCAGGAGCTGCTCACTCATCTCCTTATCTTCTACCGATCCCCGGAGTCGGTCTCTTTCCTCTTTCAGCGACGTCATTTCTACGCTCAACAGAGTCACCTGAGAAGGCAAAAGGGGGAGGAATTCAAGGCAAGGCTGCGGTTGTGGGTTTAACACCAAGGCAAAAGAACAGATCCCTTCGATCTAGAGGTGTCCAGAGCAGGAGTTCGCGAATCAAGAAAGACCAGCTGAGGAAAAAAAAAATCTCTGTGAAGGGAGAAGCTGCTTGTTCAAAAAGCATCTGATTCCTTAGAGGCTGCAGTTTTGGCTTTAGCTGAGGTTGTGTTAGGTGGCTGTGTTGTGTTGCGTTGATCTTCGGTTGAGGTTTTGTCCCACCTAAAGGAGCCGAACTACAAATGGAGGCCCTGGCCTAGGAAGACCTTTGTCCATCTTTAGCTGGTGCCTCAGATGCTTCTGGCTCGGGTGACCGATGTTCCAGCCACTCATCCAGATGTGGCTAGACTACGCAGCCCAGTTTACTTGGGGCTGCCCTTGAAGACTATTCAAAAAAATTTTAACTGGTGCAGAGTGGGTAGTTTGACTGACAGGTGGAAGTCAAGTCAGCAACATAACTGTTGGTTTCCTGGTACAATCCAAAGTGCTGTTTATCACCTATAGAGCCCTTCGGGGCTCAGTTCCGGATTATATTCAGGACCACCTGCGCCAGGTAAAATCGGGGAGAATCTTGATGCTGCCTATTAGTGGCTGGGTCCGTTATCTCTTTATTCTTTTAAAAATAATTTGGGGTTTCACGGTGGCGAGTGATTTTTATTTATATACTTACGTATCTATCTATCTATCGACTCACTATCTATCTCTCTAGCAGAGGAAGACCTTAAAAAGAGCAACGAAGGAATATTCTTGCCCCGTCCCGGCTTGCCTGGCTGTGAAGCTGCTGTAGCTCTTCCAGACTCTGCCTCAGTTTCCCCCGCTCGCCTTCCATTAACTCCCTCAGGGCTCTCGAATCTTCACTCGTTTGCTTGATCTGTTCTTCCAGAGCATCGTCGTCACTTCGCCGAGACCCCTGAAAAAAAAAGGATATAGAAGTCTTTTACCTGGGGATATTAGAGGATTTGTCGAGGTTGGCCTGCGCGCAACTTGACAAAGAAGCGAAGGGAGGTGGGGGGGGAAATGGTTATGATTGGAATGCGTGGGGAGCTGGGAGGGAGAAAAGGAATTTACGCCAGCCGGGTCCCAGCCTGAGAAAGCCACTCACAACCCCTAAGTCAGAAGCTGAGAACTTTCCAAAGGTGCAGAAAGGTGTTTTCCCAAAATAAAGCACTTAAACTGGATTGGTGGACTGGGGGGGGAAGGAAAAGGGGGTTTTACTAGGCTGTGCTTCGCGCCAAAATCTTAGAACTGGCTTTGCTTCTCCTGTACCTTAGATGGATCTGTCAGTAAAATTACACTCTTGGCAAAATGAAAAATGTCATAAACAGGAACCACTTGCCAAGCCTTTGAATTGTCATCACGTGGCTGTGGAGACGCTCGCAAGTGAGAAAAATTGCCATAAGTCGCTTTTTTCAGTGCGGTTCTAACTTCAAACCGTCAGTAAGTGAATGGCTGTAAGTCAAGGGTTACCTACAATTAAGCTCTTAAAAGGGGATCGGGTGGTTAGTAAGAACCAAGAGACACTGAAGTCTTCCTGTGTTGTGTGAACCAGGCCAATACACTGTTTGGGCATGCTATATTATATGAACCCAGTGGCTAATAGCAATAGCACTTAGACTTATATATCACTTCATAGTGCTTTTACCGCCCTCTCTAAGCGGTTTACAGAGTCGGCATATTGACCCCCCCAACAATCTGAGTCCTCATTTTACCGACCTCGGATGGAGGGAAGGCTGGGTCAAGCTACTGAGTCAAGCTACTAAATGCTACTGTTATTAATTGGGTGAGAGGGGTAAACCCCCCCAAAACCCCACTTACCGGGCAATCCGTGCCGTCAATCACGCTTTGGATCAGCCTCTTCAGTTCGCTGAGTGCAGCCCGCAGGCTGCCGGCCGGCACGTCTTTGGCTGACGAGGTTTCGGAAGACTCGTCCATGGAAGAGTCGGTGGAGACGGCAGAATCCGCACTGTCGTTCCCTCGGAGGTGGGTGCACAAGTAGCGGACTTGGCAATAGGCCTCCCAAAGCTGCAGCCTCAACTGGGATAACAGAAAAAGAAAGAAAGAAAGAAAGAGAGAGAGAGAGAGAGAGAGAGAGAGAGAGAGAGAGAGAGAGAGAGAGAGAGAGAAAGAAAGAAAGAAAGAAAGAAAGAAAGAAAGAAAGAAAGAAAAAGAAAGAAAGAAAGAAAGAAAGAAAAGAATTTAGTGACATTTTTTTGTTAGTACAATTTAGTACATCAAAGCTCAGACCATGTTTGTGGGGCTTCAATGGCACCATGATGGCTCCTCCTCCTCCTCTTCTTCTTCTTCTTCTTCTTCTTCTTATTCTTCTTCTTCTTCCTCCTCCTCTTCCTCCTCCTCCTCCTCCTCCTCCTCCTCCTCCTCCTCCTCTGTTGGAATCTGACCACCTTAAGAACATTCAGTTGAAGGAACCACCTAGAAGCCCAAGCCATTCACCAACTGTTGCGCAACTTCCAAAGTTTTCTGGAGCCCACAGCGTCCTACCTGTTCTCGCTCTTGTTCCAGCTCCTCTGCTTCCATGCTCTGTTCAATCTCTGACAGCAAAGACATCCTGGTGGAGTTGAAATCTTGGAGGCTTCGTTCCTCGTTCAGCTCCTCCATCTTGACCTGCAGCTGCCGATACGATAGTCTCACCTCTTGAAGCTCCATTTGGCTCTGGTGCAACTGATAGGATGAAAAGTTAGCCCAGAGAGAGAGAATTAACCAAGGTCCACCAGTGATTGAAACACAACCCAGTTTGGCCTAGAATAGCTGTTGAGGGCCTCCTCCAAGGAACTTCTCAGGAAAAGGGTCGGGATAATGTAGCAGGTGGGAACAGAACCTCAGTGCAGTCTTACTTAATTTAACTTACATTGAATAAGTCATACTACATGAATTAAAGATTACTCCTAGTGAATTTCAATATACACACTTCGACCTACTCTATCACATGGAAAATTAGTTTGACAACAAATTTGGGGTCTTGGGGTGGACCCTCCTGGTTTCAGGGGGAGACGATAATTCTGTGGTCTTGGGTTGAAGGAAACATTGCCAACCAACTAGGGCAATCCATAAGACCTTAGATCTAGGATCTAGAAGGATCGGCTTGCATTACTTGCAATGATCCAGAAATCTCAAGTGGGTTTTCACAGATTGGAAGAAGGGAGATACTACAGAACAGAACAGAATAAGAGTTGGAAAGGACCTTGGAGATCTTCTAGTCCAACCCCCTGCTGGAGCAGGAGACCCTATTACCGTTTCAGACAAGTGGCTGTCCAGTCTCTTCTTGAAAGCCTCCAGTGATGGAGCACCCACAATTTTACTTTACTTTGGTTTATTTAGTGTTACCAGAGGACAAAATACACATATAGTGTTCTGCATGTGTCCCAAACTCTCCCTTTTTCTTGTGTCTCATTGTAGGGCTGAGACGGACCTCCAACATTATTGAGATTCCCAAGACAAAACCCTCTTTGGTCTCCTCCTCCTCCTCCTCCTTCTTTCTGGGTCCCCTGCTTCCATTCCTTACCTGTGTGTCTTTTTCATGGCTTTGCCGTTCCAAAATTAAGACACGATCTTGAAGTTCCTCCACCGTCCCCTGGAGCAAGTTGTTCTCCTCCACCATGGCGCTGAGACGGCGCTCCAGGTCCTGCTTCCGATCCCTCAGCATCTTAATCTGAAAAAAGCAGGGGGTCCCAAGGTCAAGACCGAGCAAGCCTCCCTCCCCACCACCTCTGCTCTGGAGAAGAGAGGGACGCCTGGGCTCTGGAGAGAAAGACCTGGCAGAAAGAAGCCACACCTGTGGACACAGCCTGGAACTGACTGGACAGAGGAATGTGGGAAGAGAACGGGAGAAGGACTGGTCTCTCTCTCTCTCCCCCCACCAACCCCCCCCCTTTTATGGAACTGGCTTGTGGAGTGGGAGGAATTTAAATTTGCGAGCTGGAATGTGCGTTGCCAAGCAAAGGAGAGGGAGGGAAGGAGGCCAGGCGCTCGCTCTGTTCTCTGGAATTCCCGAGGGATTAAAAGATGAACTTGGGTTCCACAAAAGGTCACCGGGCTTTTCCCCCACACCTGCCCGGTTCCCCTCCGCCATGGGTCCCAAATACAAGGCCAAAAACTGTTGCCTCTCTCCCTCCCTCTGGGAAAGGTCCTTTGTGGTTGTGTTCAGCCTGCACAAGGGGTGTGTGTGTGTGGGGGAGGGAACCTCTGAGACGACCATCATTTGTGGCTTCACGTTGCTGAGAAAACCAGGCTGGTCCTAACAAAGTGGATTTTTGGGGGGGAAGAATAGAAATAGAAATAGAAATAGAAAGAGAAAGAGAAAGAGAAAGAGAAAGAGAAAGAGAAAGAGAAAGAGTAGAGTAGAGTAGAATAGAATAGAATAGAATAGAATAGAATAGAATAGATGCAATGGAGTGGAATATAAAGAATAGAATAGAATAGAATAGAATAGAATAGAATAGAATTGAATTGAATTGAATTGAATTGAATTGAATTGGAAGGGAACTTGGAGGTCTTCTAGTCCAACCCCCCCGCTCAGGAAGATTCTGAGAGTTACAAGGGAGGTTTTCTCAGTGGAAGCCCTCCTGTCTCCTCCCAAGGGGGGGAAAAAGCTATTAGGCATAGAATTGTAGCTGCACTACAGATGTTTTGTGTGTGTGTCTTCGTATATAAATCTGTATGTGGGAATATGCGTGGGTGCTTTCTTGGGTGTGCATGCACATATATAAATACACACAAATATACATTGGTGTGTGTGTGAACGTGTACATGTGTACGGGTGTGCCTGTATGTGAATGTGAAAGTGTGCGAAAGTGCGTGTGTGTGTATATACATATGAATGTACATGTAAACATGTACACCCCCCCCACACACAGAAGGCTTCTGTCTACCTGGGTGTGCTCACACACCCACGTGCCTATTTGTTAGGGTGGGGGCCAGATTGCAGAAATTCCAAACACTGAAGTTGCTTAACTGCTGTCGCAATATTGTGCAGCGTAGGCAACATTTTTGCCCGGCCGGTAAGCAGAATTTTCCCCTTCTCCCTCTGCCTTGATAAGACACCACCTTTTCCAGCAAGAAACGTAAGCGGGAATGTCCTGGGAGTTGGAGAAAGGGGGCAGCCCAAACTTACCCCACTTCCTGCTTCCCTAACGTCTAAGGTAGGATTTGCGACCGTTTCCCTTTCAGTTTTGCCTACCCTTCCCCTGTTTTTGTGAATTCTGCTTTTAGCATGCCGGAGTAACTCCTTGAATATATATATATATATATATATGGAACGGTTGCTGGAATTGGGTATGTCCAGTTTAATGAAGAGAAGGACGAGGGGGGGACATGAGAGCAGCCTTCCAATATCTCAGGGGCTGCCCCAAAGAAGCGGGAGTCAAGCTATTCTCCAAATCGCCCGAAGGCAGGACAAGAAGCAACGGGTGGAAACTAATCAAGGAGAGAAGCAACCTAGAACTAAGGAGAAACTTTCTGACAGTTAGAACAATCAATCAGTGGAACTACCTGCCTCCAGAAGCGGTGAATGCTCCAACACTGGAAGTTTTAAAGAAGAGACTGGACAGCCATTTGTCCGAAATGGTATAGGGTTTCCTGCCTGAGCAGGGGGTTGGACTAGATGACCTCCAAGATCCCTTTCAATTTTTATTTTTATTTTTATTATTATTAATTATTATTATTATTATTATTATTATTATTATTATTATTATTATTATTATTATTATTATTATTATTATTATTATTATTATTATTATTAATTTTAGGTGTACATTTGTTCCCAGCTCAGGCATGAGATAAGGAGTCAAAAGTCCCCCAGACGAAGGGAGAGAGAGAGAGAGAGAGAGAGAAAAGAAATACAAGAAAAAAGCTGGAAAGAAAATAAGTCAGATTAACAACTGTGAGATGGTATTTACTCAAGAACCTGACCTGACGTTAAACATTTGAATTCTGTTCTCAGCCAGCACCTTCAAATAAGGCTCCTAATGCAGGCAGTCCCTGATTTATAACCACTTGTTTAGTGACTGTTTGAAGTTACAGCAGCACTGAAAAAAGCAACATGCCGTTTCCCACGTTGCATTTTCTCTCGTCGCACCTTGGGAATTTAAGAAAGATTTCCCACGTGATCCTCCCTCAGGCTTGATGAAGTGAGACACATCTTTCGATACCAATTAGGCAGAAGCCCAGGGGGGAATTAGTGGCTCTCTTGGGTGGTTGAAAGAAGAGAAAAATCTTTTTTGAAAAAAATTGGCGGTGCGATTCAAATTGGGACTTCCAAACCAATTGACTCAAGTCTGATTCAATTAAAGGGGAAAAAGCATTTCCTTCGATCCAGAGAGAGCGGCCATTTCTGGTTTTCGGCAAAACTCCGCCATAGCGAACAATCGGTTTCCTTAATGACCGGTGTTGGTTTAACAGCTGTGAGGTTCGCACTTATGATCTCCAAATTCACTGCAAGAAAATTGACAAACCAACTTGGTCCCCGACCATTATGGCCGTAATGGCCAGGCCCCCTTGTGGCCATAACTTGAGGACTGCCTGTAGAGATTTCTAAGAAGAGTCTCAGATTTCCATCCCCCCCCCCCCCGACACACACACACTAGCTATTCCACATGGATACGTTTCTCCCTCCTAAAATTCTAAAACTCCGGAAACTTTGAAAACTTCCAAAGGATTTTCATGAGCAAAGGCTGGTGGGAATTTCCTCAAAGCATCCCACTGACCATGCAGGAGGGCGAATGTCATGGATCCCACGGGCTTGATCAAGCATCCTAACGGGCAAAGAGGTTTTGTGAGTGAGCATGATAAAGGAGCTTTTAAAGACGGCGTGCTTTAGAGACAGCGGGTGTATTTCATGTATGTTGCATGTCAACGACTCTCCCAGCACCCCATTTGCAGACCAGTGAGACAGAGAGCCCACGAAGAAGCCGAGAAACCAGACAGCCACGGAAGAGGATGAAAACACCCATGCAAATGTGGGATGTGATGACATGCAATTCAAACCTTGTGAAAAGATTCATACTTACTTCCAAGATTTGCTGCTCCAATAAGAGGAGGACGGGGAAGGAGGAAGGAAGGTTAAAATGGGACAATTAGGGTTAAGGAAATGTGGGGTGGGGAACAAGTAATTGGTAAACTTAAGGAAGGGAAGCTAAAGATGCTTTTTTTCAAGAGGCAACTGGACTTTCTTGGTTTCCTTTCAAGATGTTTCGCTTCTCATCCAAGAAGCTTCTTCAGTTCCACCTGAATGGGGGAGAATGGAAGGATTTCTACTCCATTCCCCACCATCCAGTCGGAGCTAAAGAAGCTTCTGGGATGAGAAGCAAAACGTTTTCAAAGAAAAACAAGAAAGTCCAGTTGCCTCCTGAAAAAAAGCATCTTTGGGACAATTATGACCTGGATGACTTGAGGATCTCCATCGACATGAAGGAAGGGAAACATCTCAACTATCTTCTCTAAAGTCTTCGTCTTATCTGGAAAGACCTCTGATGGACAACTCAGATATTCTATAGACACTCTGAGAAATTTCCCAGCTTCACTGCCCTAAGTCCAAATTCTCTCGGTTTTAAGCAACGGGGGGATTCTTCCCACACTTATATCCACAATGGTCTTGAGGATTTCAACACATGCTTTTCGTTCAAAACTTTTTTGAAGGCAGAAACCGGATGAAAAAAAAACAGTGAATCAAATTCATATTTAACCCTGTGTAAGGAATAAACTGTAAGTGACGGGACGCAACAGTGTTATCCACCACTGTTTCTTCAACATTATTTCCTTTTTTCGGTAATAATAATAATAATAATAATAATAATAATAATAATAATAATAATAATAATAATAATAATAATAATAATAATAATAATAATAATAATAATGTCGAAGAAACAGTGGCAGATAACATTTGTCGTGTTGAATTATCCCGTGTGGAATTGTCTGTGGTGACAGTTCCAAAACACCCATTCACTGTGGTGAGATGGCCGCAGCAAGATGGCCGTGGTGAGGTAGCCGCGGCAGGATTGCCCTGGCGAGTTGGCCATGGCGAGTTGTCTTAGACCAGGGGTAGGCAACCTTGGCTCTTTTATGACTCGTGGACTTCAACTCCCAGAATTCCTGAGCCAGCCATGCTGAGGGGAAAGGGAGAGTTTCCAAGCTGAGCCATGCCAGCTCAGGAATTCTGGGAGTTGAAGTCCACGAGTCATCAAAGAGCCAAGGTTGCCTACCCCTGTCCTAGACCCTTTTCAAAGGCAACTTCAGACAAAGCTTCTCCAACCTGGAGGCCTCCGAACTGTGGAGGACTGGCTTGGAATTCTGGGAAATGAAGTTCCCTTCCATTGAGAGGCCATCATCATAGAGTAGAATTGCCCGAGACTGCCCAACCCTGAAGGACTCACCTCTGCTTGAAGGCTCTCAAGCCGTACTATGTGCTGGTTGGTGGATGACCTCTTCTCCCTGAAGTCCTCTTGGAGGACATGAACTTGTGTGGAGAGCTTTCGCTCTGCTTCTGATGCCTGCAATATGAGAAGACACCATCATTTTAATTCACCTTTAGTGGAGCCATGCCTGCCGTTTGCTAATAGCACTAACCAACCTTGGTTGATGCTGAAAAACTAAATTGGGTTGGATGTAGTTAATATTTGGATGAGAAATCAATAGGAAATCCAGGGAGTGTAGCCTAGAAAAAGAAAGAAAGAAAGAAAGAAAGAAAGAAAGAAAGAAAGAAGGAAGGAAGGAAGGAAGGAAGGAAGGAAGGAAGGAAGGAAGGAAGGAAGGAAGGAAGGAAGGAAAAGAAAGAAAGAAATTCTGGGAGTTGAAGTCCACAAGTCATCAAAGGGCCACGTTTGAAGAGCCCTGGTGTAGGGTCTCCTGCTTGAGCAGGGGGTTGGACTGGAAGACCTCCAAGGTCCCTCCCCACTCTGTTCTTCTTCCAACTTGGGAAAAATCTGTATTCTGTATAGCATTCAAATATTATTAACCGAAGAGACAGGGACAGCCTTAGCATTTCTGCAGAGTCATTTCTCTGTGGGCTTTGGATCTTGGAGAACGGGGGTCCCTGTGGGTGACATTTGAAGACTATTTGATGGTCAAAGTTCTGCCAATACACCCAGCTGCGTTTTATTATCAGGAAAGACGCCCAGGATAGAAAGAAAGACCTTCCAGATAATTCCCAGTCATTTCAGACGTCACTGTCGTGTCTCCCTCATTATCCCCAGGCTCACCGTAATGGTACAGTGGAAAGGGGAGGGGGGGAAAGCCCAAAAAAACCCCTCAAAACCAGGAACCACCATCGGGTTACCATGGCAACAGCAGCTGCCCGGGAGACAATGATATACAGTTGCCTAGCAACTGGTGACGGAGGGCTTTTGAGCAGCGGCTGGTCTTGACGTTGTCTGAGATTGATCATCCCTGGTGAAGATCAAGCTGAGCACGCTGGCCTGCCCGGCACGATCTTCTGAGCGGTTCTGATGTGCCGAATGTGGGAGACAGGATGCAAGTCATCTAGCCAGCCTTGGGGAAGGGAGGGGAGGCGGAGGGAAGGGACGCATACGTGCACTCCTAGATTTATAGCCAGCATCGGGATCAGAATTACTAATCAAGCTGCTTGTTAAGGGAGCCTCGCCTGATTTAATACCCGTTTTGGGCCAGGGTTGTTTTAAGTGGATTGCCGCAGATGTTGTGGGAAGAATGCAATTGTTAATGCATTCTTATGCATTAATGCAATTGGATCGATGGATTCCTCCATTGATTTTGTTTGTCAGCTGGGAAAGTCGCAAATGGTGACCACATATCCCTGGGAAGCTACAAGTGTCGTAAATGCATGGGCTATCCCACTTGCTCACTCAAGCACACACACACACACACACACACACACACACACACCCCAAGGGTGTAAGGAGTCTTTATTAAGGCTTCCGAGCCTTAATTGTATTGCCCAGCTGTTCCTTATGCCAGGAGCAGCTCAACCCCAATGAGTTCCATATAGGCTACTCAAATGAAGCCAAGGCTAGTCCTCAAGGCAAAGGCAAGTCTGGTCCACTAGGCCAGGGGTCCCCAACCCCTCAGTCCCTGGACCGGGACCGGGCCGCGGCATGCCAGCAACCGGTCTGCACAAACAAGCAAAGCCACATTCGCAAGATGCAGGCAGCACACAAAACCACATACTCTCCAGTCCATGGAAAGACCTCTCTCCCTGGAACCGGTCCCTCGTGCCCAAAAGGTTGGGGACCTTTGGACTAGGCAAAGGCAAGTTCCCAAGACAGAGGCGAGTCCGTAAGACAAAGGCAAGCCCAGGGAAACAGCTGGAGACACACGATTCGAAGTTCAAGGCAAGAACACACAGCAAGAAAGCAGACATGTCGTTCCCAGCATCGCCTCCATCTCTCTGCTGTGCTAAACAGGCAAAATACGGACTTTTGAGTGCGCATAGAACTTGTTTGACTACCAAGACCAGTAAGTGGTGATGCTCCTCAGTGTTCGTGTGAACAGAACCAGAGCTGGTTGGAATTCTCCATTAGGGTCATCCCAGCTTGCTCCATCGGGAACCAAGGTATGTTTGCTGAAGGATCTGGAGATCCAGAAGAAAGCGAAGAGGTGGGCCACTCTCAGCAGTCAAGAACTATATCCTGGTAGTCACCACTGGATGAGTGAGGATCATCTAAACCAGCTTTCCCTATCAGAGTCCCCTACAAGTGTTGGGATTACAATAGCAAGAGCACTTAGACCTATATACCGCTTCACGGTGCTTTACCGTCCTCTCTAAACGGTTCACAGAGTCAGCATTATTGCCTCCAACAATCTGCGTCCTCATTTTACCCACCTCGGAAGGATGGAAGGCTGAATCCACCTTGAGCCTGTTCAGGATCGAACTGCTGACAGTGGGCAGAAGTAGCCTGCAATTCTGCATTCTAACCACTGCGCCACCACATCTCTTAAAAACTCCTAGAATCCCCAATACAGGCCCCAGGTGTGGGGGCAGCTACACTTAAGGCAACTGCTGAGCCTGGACAATAGACCTCATTCCATCAACCTTGATGACTTTAAGATGGGTAGACTTCAACTCCCAGAATTCCCCAGCCAGCATAGCAAGGGGAAGCCCACCCATCTTAAACCCCCCAAGGTTGAGAAACCCCGATATCGACCAACACATCTAGGAAAATCCACAAAGGGTTGCAGTGAGTTCTCCTTGCTTAAGAGATGCCAACCTCTTTGGAAGTTCTACCAGCTCTCCTGTCCTTCAAGATATTTGTGCCTTTATTTGCTACCATTTAATCTCCCTAGTTTGATCCTCCCTTCAAATTCGAGCTTGTTAGCAGAAGAACAAGCTGGCAGGTCCATCTGGACCTCAGATTAAACCAAGAAGCTGCACATACAATATGTGGCGCTGGTCAGCTGCAGGATTATAACTAAGCATCAAGGCTGCTAGCACATCGCTAACCTGGCAGGAGATTAGAGAAGCTAAGTAATGTTGAAGGTTCTAGTGAGAAACCATCGTATCCCCCAACCTTTCTTTGTAAAAACATCCAGTTTCATGCAATTTTAAGCGTAAGTTGTAAGTCAAGGACTCCCTGTGTGGAACTGAGGAAAAAAACACAAAATGGAGTAGCTTTAAGAGCTGGCTTCAGTGCCAATTTACTCCCTCCAAGGCTAGCTTTGGAGCTACAGGGTCATTTGAGCTAATTCTGCAGGTTCAAACCGGCGGCACCGGCTGTTTTCTGAGATTAGCCAAGGCTACAGAAGCGTAAAAATCCTAAGCAGTACCATGAAAACATTTTGAGATCCGTTTCTACCAGGCAAGCTGGCTTGGAAGCAATTAAGCTGGCACCAGAAAAACCCAGAAACTTCCGATAAGGAGATTTTTTTTATTGTAGGACAGGTGAGAAACCATTAAGAAAGAGTCCCAGGAGACAGCTGAATACATAACAAAACAGCGAGCAAATTTCCAGTGCTCTTTTCTCAACTGTGAGGTCCTTGGCTTACAACCACAACAGGGACCAGGAAATCTGTTGTTAATCAGGGCAGATATGAAGGGAGGCACTGGGTGACCGCATCTTCCCCCCCCCCCCATGGCTGTTAAGCAAAGAACTGCGGACGCTAATTGAGATACCGTATGAGCATGACTTGCGACCTTCTCTGCAAGCTTCCTCATTGGCTTTGACGGGCAGAAGCTACCTGGGAAGGTGACAGAGGGTGATCACGTGACCACGAGGGAGGCCAAGTGCCCAAATCATGGTCATGTGACCGGAGGGAGGCACTTGACAATCATAAGTGCAAGGACTGATCATAAGTCCCATTTTTCCAGCGTAGCTTTGACTGGTTGCTAAATAAATAGTCGTATGTCAAGGACTGGTTTTATAGGGAACCCACAACTCACAACCCCCTGATAACCCGTTTGGAGTTACAACAGAACTGAAAAAGCTGACTTATGACTGTTTTTCGCACTTGCATCCCTACGGTCACGGGATCAAAATTCAGCCACTTGGTAACTGACTCTTGTTTAGGAGGGTGGCAATGTCCCGGGCTCCCTGTTAGGGACTTTTTGACAAGCAAAGTCAATGGGGGAAGCCAGATTCCACTTAACAACCGTGTAACAAAGGGTACAACCACAGTGGCTCACTTAACAATGGTGGCCAAAAGGGCGTAAAAGGGAGTAAAACTCACTTCACAACTGTCGCCCCATTTGTAACAACTGACAACGGTGGTGGTAAGTCTCCCTGTATCGCCGTTTCCCAAGAGAAGGCAGGCAGTCTGGAGCAGGGGTCTTCAAACTTGGCTGAGGAATTCTGGGAGTTGAAGTCCACAAGTCATCAAAGGGCCAAGTTTGAAGACCCCTGGTCTGGAGAGATTCTTGTCATACAGGCAATCAGCAATAAAGACACCTATTAGACCCATACTCTGCATTCTTCTGCTGGCTTGTCCCTGACATTGGGTCTGGTTAATACCTGGATACAGCCATTGTTGTCCTAAGTTGAGGACTGCCGTACAGACTCCTCCCCGTCATAAGGTCTCAGGGAGAGATGCCGTACCTCAACACCTGCAAGCGAGCCCGCCGCATCGGCAGCAGCCTTCCTTTCCTCTCCCCGGGGCCGGAGGCCCTCCCTCACCTTGCTGAGCTGATCCAAGAGTCTTTGGTTCTGTTCCGATAGTTCCTGGACCGCCCGCGTCTTCTCCCGGTCAGCTTCCCGGAGGTGGACCTGCTGCTTCTCCAGCTCGTCCTGCAACTGCTTGACGTCGCTCTCCAGCTCCGAGACGCGGCCTTCCCACTCGCCTTCCTTGTTCTCAAAGCGTCGTCGCAGCTCATGTTTCTCTTGCTCCAGGTGCTGCGTCAGGAAAGGGGAAAGGAAGGCGTGAGCCACCTGGCACGGGAGCCAGCCTTCATCCTTGTATTGTGTGTGTGTGTGTGTGTGTGTGTGTACTGGACTTACAACCGTTCCTTTAGTGACCATTTCAAGTTACAAAGGCACTGAAAGAAGCGACTTAACGACCGTTTTTACCCTTAAGACGGTTGCATCCCCACGGTTGCGTGATCGAAATTCAGATGCTTGGCAACTGACTCGTATTTATGACGGGTTGCAGCGTCCTGGGGTCACCCTTTTGCGACCTTCTGACAAGCCAAGTCAACAGGAAAGCCAGATTCACTTAACAACCGTGTGACTAAGTTAGCCACAGCTTAAGAACTGTGGCTAGAAAAGAGCAACAGATGGAAACCAATCAAGGAGAGAAGCAACCTGGAATTCAGGAGAAATTTCCTGAATGTGAGAACAATTAACCAGTGGAATGACTTGCCTCCAGAAGTTGTGGGTGCTCCGACGTTGGAGGTTGTTAAGAAGAGACTAGACAGCCCTTTGTCCAGAACACTATAATGGTTGGACTAGAGGACCTCCAAGGTCCCTTCCAAATCTGTCTAACTATTCCTCTTCTCCTAGGCTTTTCAAGATTTACTAAATTGTTACCAGGACCAAACGCCCAGCACAGGGGAACAAAGGAAAGAGGATCCTTTTGGAGAAGGCAGAAACATTAATTCTGTTCTCCATGTGTCTCCTTTTCCATAGGATGCACTGGCATGCCAGGTTTGTTTGCTTTGGGGGGTAGCATTTTGCGTGACTCTAAACAATCGCCAGGAGATAGCGAATTCTAGTCCTTCCTTAGGCATAAAAACTGGCTGGGTGAGTTTGGGCCAATCCTTCTCTCTCTCTCTCTCAGCCCTACCACCTCATAGGATTGTTGTGGGTGGAGAAAATATGAGGAGGAAGGAATATTATCTAGTATATTTGCTGCCTTGAGTTACTTAGAGAAATGATAAAGGCAAGAGAGAGAAAAAGATCTAATAAAAATAAATAAATTAGGTAGGTTCCCCCAATGAGTTATTTATAAAAACAGTAAAGATGGGATACATGCACGCATACTTACCTATATACATAGACTTTTTTGAATGTGACAATCCTCTCTTAACCTTAGGGGCAAATAAACTGGAAACCCTTGTTTTTTAAAAATGGGCTTAAAAAAAATAAATAAGGGCAGAGGCTTAATTTTCATGGCAGCCTGTTGTTGGATTGTTCGATTCTGAATTGCAGATCTGTTTGGAGGGCTTGTTCCAGGCCCTAAAAAAAGTGCAGAAAACCCCGCTGGCTGCCTTTTCAAAGAGACCAGCGGAGAAGTTGTTTACAAAAAAAACGCTTGGTTGCTTTTGAATGCCAGAAATGTTATTTTCTCGAAAGGCTTCCTGTTTTCCTAAAGCATTCCGGCTGGAGGTCAAGGGATGTTTGAATGGAGCCTTCGGTGCAGCAAAATTGGGTTCCAGGCAGGCAAGAATTAAGCCCATTTTATATAAACCGGGTAGAATGTGTGTGTGTGTGTGTAGGGAGGGGAAGCAGAAGAACCCAGCTTCAGATCGACAGATGGGAGTCTTGGGAATAAAGGACATTTTGAGCATTTGCAAGCAGAACAAACAGGCTAGCTAGGCTGATAGAAAACAAGCCTGGAGGAAAGTACTCAATTTGAAGAGAAGCTTGGCAATCGGTGGCAGAAAGAGGCTCACTCGGTATTGAGGGAAAGCAAAGCTGGAGGGTCATCTTGGAAGAACACTCCGTTTGGCGTTTCTTCGCTAAGAAAGGGTTGGACTGGATAGCCTCCCAGGGTCCCTGAAATCCTCTGGTCTGGATTAAACATTGCACAAAACCAAACATGGATGTAATAGGCTACAGGAGCGCAGTTGTTACGATGTGCATGGATGGAAACTAATCAAGAAGAGAACCACTCTAGAACTAAAGAGAAATTTCCTAGCAGTGTGAGAACAATTAACCAGTGGGACACGTTTTCTCCAGAAGTTGTGGCTGACCCAACACTGGAGGTTTTGAAGAATGGACCCAGCCATTTGTCCAGAATGGCATAAAATCTCCTGCTTGAGCAGGGGGTTGGACTAGAAGACCTTCAAGGTCTCTTCTTGTTATTCTCTTCTTAAGGATCAAGGAGACTTCCCCGGCAGTACACTTGAGGGAATATAGGTGTCCGTCATTCATAGACGGTTGCATAGCGGTTGCATTCATGCATTTGTGAAATTTAATGTTCTGGCTTGAGGGCTCTCAAACAGCAAAGCTCGGAACAGGAAGTCGGATCGATCAATCAGCATGGAGGACGCACAACGCTGCTCAACACACAGTTGTGATATGGGAGCTATTTGTGTCAGCCTGTTTGCAGTCTTCTGCAACCTTTACTTACTTACCATCAACCCCTTCGCAGTGTAGGTATTCAGTGACGGCTATGGACAGTTGTGGGCAACTCTATTTGACAAATTTCTATTATGAAGCAAGGCAGTTGTGACTAGACTAGACTAGACTAGACACATACTCAGTTCCCTCAAACATGCAGCATACGGTTTCACTTCCAGAGTTCTCATCATTTTTGTTGCTCTTCTCTGCCCTCTTTCTAGGGTGTTGGCATCCGTTTTGTATCATGGTGACCAAAACTGGATGCCGTATTCCAAGTGTGGCCTTACCAAGGCGTTGTAAAGTGGTGTCAGCCCTTCTCGTGATCTTGGAACTATCCCTCTATTGATGCAGCCTAGGACTGCGTTGGCTTTTTTAGCAGCTGCAGCACACGGCTGGCTCATCCTTAAGCCGTGATCCAATAAGATACCTAGATTCCTCTCAACGTCCGTGCTCCCCAACCTCTGGCGCTTCCAAACTTTTTTATTTGGCCTGGGGCCCTGAGGGGGTGGCTCACCAATGGGGGGTGCTGAGGGAGTAAGAAGACCTCGTCCTCATCCTGTCCATCTCATAGCTCTCTTGGTTTCAGTACAGGTTTTTAATTGATATGGTTTTACTTTGTTCGTGTTTTCATTATTTTTACCTGTTTTGTCACTTGCAAGCTGCCCAAAGTCATCTTGCAGGGGAGATGAAGGGGCATAAAAATGTAATAAACTACGAAAGCTATGAAACTACGAAAACTTTGCTGGGTTCATCTTGTAGTAAGCTTTGGTTTGTTCAGCTCAGATAGTAACAGATCTAAATAGTACAGTATCAAAGACCGTAAACTGGTTACAGACTGGCTTTGGTCAGATCCCTAGTACCCAATGGACAACAGTCCTACTTAACTATGAAAACTTTGCTGTGTTCACCTTGTAGTAAGTTTGTTCAACTCCGATCTCAACAACCCAAACTGGCCTAAGTCACAACGATAAGCCATCCATCATGGTTTAGATGTCACTAGGGCTGGGTTCACACATAATATTAACTCGCTACACAACATACCGAAGCTTAGTATAAGCTGTGGATTCTATGAATAGAATCCCTTGCTTAATCCAGCTAAGTCCAGTTTTAATTGCTCAGCTTCCCACCTAGAGCTGCACTGTTTGAGTTGGGCAGCTTTATAAGTCTTAAAAATAAAATATTTTCAGGCAACTGGTAATCAGTGAAATCTGTATTGCTTCTCTATTATTTCCAGAAGGGTTGAAATTTGAATTTTTAGCATATTTGAACAGGGTTGTTGACGCTTCAGCCTGAAACATGGCAGAGCTGTTGCTGGTCAGCATTGACCGTCTATATCAGGGGTCTTCAAACTTGGCCCTTTGATGACTTGTGGACTTCAACTCCCAGAATTCCTCAGCCAGGCACACGTGCCTGGCTGAGGAATTCTGGGAGTTGAAGTCCACAAGTCGTAAAAGGGCCAAGTTTGAAGACCCCTGGTCTATATCACATGGACTGAAGACGTCAATGGGGAGGAGGGGACTCCCAGGTCCCCAAAGTATCAGACGTTGACCTGGGATCCAACAGGCCAAGAAGAAAGTCCAGCCAAGCCCAAAATGCTTAATGCTAAGGAGGAGAAACCAGTATTGACCCACAATCAATGGGAAAAGTCCTGTTTGTACTTTACTGAATCCAACAGGTCACACGAGCCCAACAATTCAACAATCAAGTTCACCCAAGGGTGAAACAGGGTTTGTGTTTGTTTGTGGCCGGGTGTCAGGTGTGCACAACTCCCTCGGCTGAGAACCCAGGATAATGACACACTAGGGCTGCGTTCATTTAATCTGCGGGAAGCCCTGCCCCTCCCCTAAGCTAACCAACATTTTGTGGTTTACCAAAAAGGCCTGGTTCACAGACATCGCCCAATCTTGTTTTCGCCTCGTTTAGTACCCTCTGCAAATCCAGGAAAGTGGATTCGGTTTACCCCTGAGTAACAGTTGGCTAAATACAGGCTTAAGGGGAGATGTGGGCCTATTTATGTAACCGTCCTCACCTTAAATAGTCTGGCATTTCCCACCCCACCCTAGATGAAACAATTGCAACTCCCATAATTCCCAGCCAGCGTGGGCCTGGAGGAATTGTGCTCTCCGCACACCTGAGAAAAACTGGAGCACACCCCCCCCATGGGCCCACGACTACTCCCCAATGTATTTCCTTCTTCCTCTGGCTTTCCTGCACGTGACATTCAATCAATCCTGGTTTGCCGGCCCCCAAATCTCCTGGCTTGTTTCTAAAGCTCTGCTTAGACCAAGCCGAATCCCACCCTCTCCATGCCCAGCCTCTTTTCCCCCTAAACCAAGGCTTTCCAAGGTGTGTCCATCCTCCGCAGTTTTCCCCAGCCTGGTGCTCTGGACACCATGTCCCATGGCCCCCTCCCAGCCGCTCCCTGTGAAACATGGCTACGAATGCTGGGAGCTGTAGTCCCAAGCCCGCAGAGAAGGGCTGCTCTAGACAAGCGTGGGGATGGCATCTCGCTCGGGGCAGGGGCGCCCTCTCAACCCCGGAGAGATGCTCTCTGCACATGGTCAGAGGGAGACCCCTCCGGCCCGTCCCCTCGGGCTTCTCACGAGGGGAAGGCCGGCCAGTCCTCCCCAGCGGCCGAGTCCTGAGTCACCGCCCCGGCCTGCCAGCCTCGCCGGCCTCACCTCCAGCTTCTCGGTCAGCTCCTTGTACATGCGCTCGTACTGGCGGCTCAGGTCCTGGTTGCGCTCCAGCAAGGCTTTGCCCAGCCGGGCGGCCAGCACCAGGTCCTTCTCCTTCTGCCTCATCAGCGCCAGCAGCTCCGGCTCGGCTGGAGGCGGCGACGCCGCCGCCGGGCCCTGCGCCTCGGCCTCCCCGGGCCCTTCCCCGGCCGAGGCCAGCAGGGCCAGCTCCTCCTCCAGCGCCAGCTCCAGCTCGCCGCCCACCGACGGGGAGGCCGCCGCCGCCGCCGGAAGAAGAGCAGCCGGCCCGCCCGTCTCTTGCCCGGCCGTCGAGGGCGGCGGGGCCGGCGCGGCGCTTCCCGGGCGCTCCATGCGGCAGGCGCTGTCCAGCTCGGAAGGTGCTGAAAGGGGTCCCGCCAAGCAGGAGGCGGACATGGCCGGGCCCCGGGCCACTCCAGGCGCCGAGGAGGAGGAGGAGGAGGAGGAGGAGGGAGCCCGGAGCCCGCAGCGGGCCGCTCTCGGGCCGCTGGCCTCTCCTCCCGGCTCCCGGTCCTCCTCCTCCTCCGCCGCCGCCTCCTCCGGGGAGGCGCGCAAGGGCAGCGGCCGCCTACGCCCGCTGGGGCCGCCGCCGCCGCCTCCGCAGCCCGGCGCTCTCAAGGCGAGCCGGGCGCCCGGCCGGGGCTGGAGGGGAGCGGGCCGTTGCTGCTGCGGGGGCCGGGGGTGGATCTGCTGCTGCTGCTCCTGCTGCTGCTGCTGCCGGCGGCCCCGCTTGGCAGCCCCGCGCGCCGAGCCCCATCGCCGCCGGAGCGCCGGCCAAACATCGCGCGGACGCGGGAAGCTCGCGAAGCCACCGGCGGTGGCGGCGGCGGCGGTGGAGGGGCGGCCGGCTCCTCCACCCCTCCCCTCCCCAGCCCGTGACGCCAGAGAACACCTGTTCGGCCGACGGCTCTGATTGGTCGAGACGGGTGTCTCCACGGTCACGCCCACAGGTGTTGCGCCGCCCCTCCCCAGGCTTAACCCCCGCCCGTCCCGGATGGCACCAGAACATTCGCGCTGGCCTGTTGGGCGAGGAGGGCTCAACCCGGTGCCGGCTGTTCTTCGGGGCGAGAGGAAAGCAGGGTGCACGGTGGGAAAGGCCAGGGAAGGGCAATGAAGTCCTAGGCCGGCGTTTCTCAACCGGGACAATTTGAAGACTTCGAGTCCCAGAATCCCCCAAGCAGCGTGCTTAAGATGTGTAGACTTCAGTTCCCAGAATTCCCCAGCCAACATGCTTTAAGATGTGGACTTCAACTCCCAGAATTCCCCAGCCAGCCTGGGAGAAATCTGGGAGTCGAAGTCCACGCATCTTAAAGTTGTCAAGGTTGAGAAACACCGTCTTAGATGTTTAACCAACATGTTTAACCCAGTTAGTGTATTGACTTGTTTTCTGATTTTATACAATCCATTGAACCAAAAGCCAACCTCAGAGCTGGGAGCTCCCCAAGACACATCCCTTCCCTAAATTGATAAATAACAGTTGAGATTAAACTCAACCAGGATTAGCCTCTTGGCTAATGTAGCCTACTCAGTGAATGCACCTCAAGTTATTTAATGCTTGTTGTTTTTCATTCTTCAGGCATGAAAAAGTATTTATCCCCCAGTTTAGGGCTGGAGGTAAATTCATATATTATCGTACACCAAGTTTCTATTGGTTAATAGAACATGCTACATCAAAGAGCCTCGTTTTAGCTCAGTAAAATGTATGAACCAGGCCAGTGAATTTATTGTTGTAAAAGCAATGTTGTGTAGAAGTAGTTTTGTTATATAAAGCCCAATTGATTGCATTTGCATCACACGCTAAGCTAAACCCACACACAAGTACAGTGCAATGAATGAACAGTCTTCATTTTGAGATTTTTTTTCTCCAGATTTTGAGTAGTTGTTGATAAGGTTCCTAAGACAGAGAAATATAAATCCTTGTCTTTCATCAGATATCATTTTTAGAGAATGAATGAGCCTCGTCATCCGGATGTGTTTTAGGCTTTTTCCATATTCCTGAGATGCACAAAAGACAGAACTGTCTGTGAGTTGTCGGGGAAATCCCCAGGTGCCCTTTACAAATTGGGTGTCTGGAGTGGACCATCATAATAGATCTATCATAACAGCAAGTGGTCAGATGAGGAGACCCGAACCCATCAGTAGCCTCACCCAGCAATGAAAAAGGGCACACATTCAATTTTGCAGCTACTAAGATTGTTGGACAAGCAGGGACAAAAATAGTCAGGGAAGTGATTGAAGCCCCTTGTCAGTTGTTTTGTTGAGCTAACTATTAGTGGTTTATTCAACAAACCTTGATGAAATAAAATAACATGTTGTGTGAAGACAGCCGTTAGAATAGTAAAGAAAAAACCCTCATAATATCAAAAAAACTTACTGATGTAGTCTTTCCTTAGCTTGCGGGTTATGTTGTACTGGACTACAACACCCATAATTTCTTAACATGAAGGCCACTGGTAATTTTCCAGCACTAGAGGTTCCCAGGCTAGGAAGAACTTGGTTTCATATGCTGCAGGAAGCCAGGATTCTGTAAATATGGCAGAACTGAATAAGCTACAGTTGGCTAGGTTCCACAATGTTTCAAGCCATAAACTGGGTTTTACGATCACGGTGATGGAATACTTGTGGTGCACTAAGCTGAGACCAACTCATGATGTGCTTTTTTTGGGGAAATGTAATCCAGACATAACTATCATGAATTATTCAATGGAGTACGGCTGAGCAAACCCAAAGTTTAACACAATTTGCAGGCACGTCCACCAGGATCCAAAGGACGAAAGCGTATCATAGTGTGTGTGATGTTGTGATGGAAGTACAAAAGAGAAGCATGGAGTGATGCCAGATCATTGTACAAATCACTAGTGCTTCTGTTCCAGAAGAAAAATAGAGTGTGTCCCATTCTGGAAGATTTTTTTGTAATCTTCTGGCCTGATTACCTAGATCCCACTTGAGCAATGTATCTCCAAATCTCTTTCCAGAGTCTAGCACACAAAGGGATTACAGATCGAGGGCTTTAATCCACCCCAAACAAAGCTGTGCCCTAGATTCCTCAGCTGAGCTGCAGGAGAAGGGGCCCACAATTCATACGACGATGGCTAAAAGTGTGTGTGACTCTATCACCGTGCCATTTCTTAATGGCCCCCGCACTGGGTCACATCAGCGCCTCAGCCTATCCGCAGCTCCCTTCACACGCTCGCTCTGGGGACGTGAATGTTTTGTTTACTGCACAACCTCCCGTTAATCTGCAGTCCCAAACAATCTGTCATTATTGATTGCCATTGGCAGAAAAAAAATGGAGGGGGTTACTTTGAAATCCCTCATGCACTGTCAGTCCATTTGCTTCATTGTGCTTGGAAGAAGTGGAGCAAAAGATTGCTCAGGTCCAAATCCATACGGGGATGCTTTTTTTAAGGGAGGATGCGTAGGAAATAAATTTGGGATAAACAGTCGGCTGAGCCCTCTTCTGTGATCTAGCCTGTCTGGATGGTTGAGCTCTCTGGATCCAGTCTCTCCCAGCTAGCTGGGAGCTGATCGTGAACAGCTGAAGGAAGTCAGACATGGTAAGCCATCAGGAAAATCCAGGGCTGCAGGTTAGCCTGGAAAATACAAAAATACAAAATTAAAAAAATCCAAAAGAAGACTTCTGTATTGTAGATGGAAGGAGGAATGGCCTTGGAGGACAAGTTGCTACCAAGTCAGAGGGAAGACAGGCTAGGAAGAGCTCCTACGAAATCAACGGTCAGAGGGAATGGCCTCGGAAGAAAGGAGAAAGAGCTACCACCGAGTCAACAGGCAGATAAGTGGGGCTTGAATCCGAGTTTTAATGTTCATAACCATTCCAGACTAATCACGTCCGGGGGAAGGAAAGGCATCTATCCCGGGAAAGTTTGTTCCAGACTTACTAATACTTCCCACATGGCATGTTTTATTGCTCATGCCCCCCTCCCCCTTGAAAACAATGTGGTGGCTGTTATATAAAGAGCCGTGCAAGGACGTGGTGCGTTGGCCTTAAGAGCAGGCCTGCCAGTGATTACTTTTCCTCTCCGTGTCTCCTAATTGGCAGGTAGCAACATCCACCACGTTTCATTTCAGCTCAGCTCTTAGTCATTTTCGTATTGTGATCGGATTTTATTTTTCAGGATATAATCCCGGGGAAGCGTTACCGAGCATGTCTCATCTCATTGTCAAGTTGCTATAGCGACTCGGGTTTGAACCACGACTTTCAACATGGACCAAAAAATAAATTAAAAAAAGGTCTGGGAATTGAAGTCCACGCCTCTTAAAAGTTGCCGAGGTTGAAAAAGGTAGGGTATTATTCCTTTTATTTACTTATTTTTTACCAACATGCTACTAAAACTCTGATTCCTGTAACCTTTGGCTGGGCAAAACAGTGCATTGTAGGGTAACCACTTTTGAACCCCTCAAATGGGCTGAGTTACAGAATGTGTCCAAAATTTGGGACATGCCTTAAGGCTTTTTTAATTTTAAAATAAAACGTTTATTTCAACCTGCTTCATGTTGGCTTTTTATCATTATTAGGTTTGGGTGTTGACATTGTTCTGATTTGCTGGACTTTTCATACAAGGCGATTCATACAACAATCCGAGCTCTAAGCTAACCAAAGTCCGTTGGGTCTTACTTATTGCCAGCATAACAAAAAGATAACTTCCAGTTCCCTTTTTATCTTGTTGTGCTACTTTTCTGTTTGCAGGGAATAATGCCACAACGAGGTGGACTTGTCTTCTGACTTGGTTTTGCACTGCCAAGCGTTAATTCTGGGGTTCAATATGTTATGGAGTTGGGTAAATCCTGCTTCGTTTAATTTAATGCTTCAAAGCACGCAGTTAGGTCCGGATTTTAAATTTCATGACAGGTCTGATTGGCAATGCTTTTTCCTACCACTGATCGCCAGCAGGGGGCAGTGTTGGGCTGGATAGCAACAATGCACACAACTTTTGTAACCCTATTGATAGTCGTAGAATCCTAGGGCTGGAAGGGACCTTGGAGGTCTTCTAGTCCAACCCCCTGCTCAAGCAGGAGACCCTATATCATTTCAGATAGGTGTCTGTTAAATCAAGGACTACCTGGAGTCTAAAAAGGATGCTGTAAAACAGGGCTCTTCAAACTTGGCCCTTTGATGACTTGAGGACTTCAACTCCCAGAATTTCTCAGCCAGGCACGCTGGTGGAGGAATTCTGGGAGTGGAAGTCCTCAAGTCATCAAAGGGCCAAGTTTGAAGACCCCTGCTGTAAAACCTGTTGAAGGAGCCAACCTCAGAAGATGTCATTTGGTGCCTTCCAGTCCTGTCACTGAGAATTCTGGGAGTTGAAGTTCAATGGAGCTGGGAAGGAATCATCGGGAAAGCATTGATGGCTTGTAAATCATAGTTTATTGTTTACTACCATCTCTGACGCCAGGCAATTGTGGTTTCATAGACAAAACCATCAACTAAGCCAAAACCAAATTAATCACTCGGTGGCACTCGGTGCTTTAGTCCGTGCCAAGCAGGCAACGATTTAGCACGGACCAAATAAAATGCCACTTTTTGTTATTACACATTTCTCTCGTTGTTTCCATTGATGCCAGGCTTTAATTACTTTTCAGAAATCCTCCAAATATGCATCCTTGCAAGAGAGTCTAAACAAATGTCAGCAGACGAACAATGGAGGAAACAAGAAACACAGCCCAAGAGTTTATTTTTGCAGAAACCATTTTAAAAAAAAAAAGAAGACGATGGTTTCAGGGCCAAGTATGACAAAGCCAACTGCACATCATTACTAATTTGGGGAGGAAAATAAAATAAGGCGTAGGAGGCCAATTGCCAAGCCTTCCAAAGATAGAAATGAGTGCAGCAACTTGAGGGGAGGAGGGAAGCCAAGCCACACACACAGAGCCAAAAAAGCTGTGATTCAGAATAAAACACAAGAAACCGGGTCTCTGAGGCAGTAAGGTTGTGGGACTACCGGGTCACAATCTAGACATTTTTTTGGGGTGATAACCACCGTGCAGGTCAGCTCCTGGCTGTTACCCGACCTCAGATTATAATAATGACAGCTCACTGCAGCATTCATTTACAAAAAGAATTTATTGATGATCTTTGATCTCTTTGCATGTCATTTGAAGGTCCAAAGATGCAGCTTCTCACGGACAGAACGACTCCCGAGTCTTAGGCACCAGAACAGCCAAAAGGAGCGGGTCCGTTCTGAACCGTCCTCTCTGCTGCCACCGCCTCGCAAGGCAGGTTTTTCCTGGGTCCTTTCGAAGGGCTGAGAGCATGCTGGAATCCAATGGCGTACTTCTCAAGATCCCTGTTGAGCCAACCGCTCACGTTCCCTTTCTCGCAGGAGCTTTGCTTGAAGAAACACACGGCCCCTTCGGTGTTGGACAAGCCCTTCTTCTCGTCTCTGATGACCACGATCTCCCTCTCCCCCAGGTCGATTCCTTCCAGGGCCTCCGTGCCGTTGAACTCACTGCAAGTGGACAAGGCATCCTGGTCTTGGTTCTTGGCGCTCAGGCTGGAGACGTCGACAAAACAGACCAGCTTCCGCTGTTTGTCGGTCGGGACTTTGTCGTCAAACAGGCTGACTTTGCAGAGGCCGGCGCGGCAATGCATCCAATCGATGTCCGACCTCATCATGGTCACCGGGACCATGCCTTCGGCGTTGGGGCACTCTTTGGGTTGAAGGTTGGACATGATTCTGCGAGACTGAAAGACAAGGAACTTGCCTCTTTACCTTCCCATGCTCTTCTGCTGCCCAGGGACACTGGCCAGGCCAAGTAGCTGTCCAGCTGTTGTGACATCACAAAGCATGTGAAACAACAGAGGTGACAGCCCAGCTGTAGGAGAAGAGCAGGCAGAGCTGGGGGGGAGGAGTTAAATGCACCATTAGCTTGGAGTCTTTGCGTTGCCATAAATGCTTCAAGTCCAATATATATATATATATATATATATATATATATTATATAATTAGCCCTTTTTTTAGCTTTGTATATTGCCTTACATCCTATATTGACCAAAACTGGTTAATAATTTTTATTATGATGATGATTTACTGCCGCTGAACACGCAACACGCGTCGTGCGAACGCAGCGCTGGAGCCTGCATCACGGAACTCTCGCGGGGCACGTGACCTCAGCCGCCCCGCCCCTCCGAGAATAGTTGCGACCGTTGGGCTCGCTTGGCCACGCCCCCCCGGGGCCTCCCTAGCGGGCAGGGGACGCGTCAGCAGGACGCGGGCCGGCACGCACGCGGACCTGCCCGCCCCCTCGGTGACGTCATCCCCAGCGAGGATTGGCGGAGAGCGCCGATGACGCGAATCGGCGGGTCAGAGCGGCCGGGAGGGCGGGGCGAAGGCGGGGCGGGGCTTCCGGGCGGGCTCCGTTCAAACGCCGATGGCGGGAGCCGCGCCGCGGGACGCGTGAGGGGAGCTGGCGGCGGCGGAACTTCGGGTCGGCGCTTCCCGGGAGGGCGCCGGGAGCGAGTAAGCCTCAGCTGAGGGAAGCGTGGGGGGGGGGGCAGTGTTGGCCAGCCGAAGGGGTTCTCTGCACATGCTCAGAGGTGCTCGTTGCGCTGTCCTTAATGGAATAGTTACGTGTAATGCAATAGAATGCAGAACGCCGAACCCGAGTTTTCAGGTGTGGGCGTTGGGGAGCCCCCCAAGAACTGGCTGGCTCGGTTTGGCTGGGCTGGCGTTTCTTTTTGTCTTAATTTTACTATATATATACATTTATATATATGTGTGTATATATATATATAAAATGTAAACAAAATCTCATTTTAATGTATGCTGATTAGCGTACATTTAAAGTGACAATAAAGTTATTCTATACCTATTTCTATATTTCTATTCTGTTCTGTTCTATTCCTTTCTATATTTTTACTCTATTCCTATTTCTATATTTCTATTTCTATTCTGTTCTATTCTCTTTTCTCTTATTCTATATTTTATATTCTATTCTATTCTATTCTATTCTACTCTATTCTCTATTCTCTATTCTATTTTTCTATTCTATTCCTATTCTATTCTATTCTATATTTTATTTTTCTATTCCTATTCTATTCTTTTCTATTCATTTACTTTTATGCACACCCATGATGTGTGTTTTGGATTATTTCACTTGTTACTGTTGGTTTTGCTCTTGTATCTTGCCCAGAATAGGCTGGGTTTTTAATGAGTCATAAATATTGTCAAATAAGGCAGCTCCTTGCTTTGTTCGTCATCTATTCCCTCCTGTACGGGTAGTCCTTGATTTAGAACCATTCATTTAGTGACCATTTGTAATTATAACAATATTGAAAAAAATAGCCTTAGGACCATTTTTTTCACACAACTGCTGCAGTGTCCCCAGGGCCATGTGATCAGAACCGGACCCTGGGCATGTATTTATGACCGTTGTGCTGCCATTTGGGTTATGTGATCTCCGTTTGCAACCTTCCCAATCAGCTTTTGACAAGCAAAGCCCACGGGGGGGGGGGAAGAAAGATTCGCTTAATATCCGCGCAGTTCCCTTAACAACTGCAGATTCACTTAACTGTGGCAAAAGCGGTAAGATGCGGGCAAAACTCACTCTAGCTTAATAACAGAAAGTCAATGGCTCCCTGTATCTTTTATAATTTTTCCTTTGTGGACACGATAGTTGTGAGACTCGGATGATGCGTTCAAGGCTGGGGCTGGAGATGCCAAATTTCCCCTTGGGCAAAGAAAGCAGCATCTTTCTCCAGCAGGGAGAAAACTGGGAAGGTTAATCCCTCATGGATTCTCATCACAATTGCCTGTTCCAGTGTTGCTAACATCTGCCTCAAAATGATCATTTTTCCCCCTCTGACATCTGGCTAATGGCTGCCCCGTCAGACCAGAGGGAAAAAGGAATGGGTCCAGGAAACCTATTTGTGGTTTAAAAGTCAGGGTTTAATAACTTTTATGTCCTCTTCCGGTCGTCAAACCGTGGAAGCAAGAATCTCGTTCAACCCTGACTTTCTCATCCTGAAGAACCAACTGATGTCTCCTTCAGCCAGGCTTTTTGAATCTGGTGGAAAATTATTTTAGCTATCATTTTTCCTTTGGGGCCTTTAAACGGTTGTGCGTTACAGTTGGATTGCTGGCTGCCTTATGGGCCTGAGAGGAGTGATTATAAACTGATATATTCAATAATAAGATTCCTTGGAGTTGTCGCTTATTAATCAAACAATGTCATTTATGAAATCTTTATTTTCGGCGTGCGCCGGCTGAGTTGATTTTTAGGGTTTTTTTTAACCTACGTACAATAGTTTTTTTTTTTAACACGTACAATAGTTCTTCCTCCACCGATTTTCTCCACAACAACCAGCCCATGGGATGCCTGAGAATGACTGGCTCAAAGTCACTTAACCATTTTCATGCCTAAGGTGGAACTCGCCGTCTCCTAGTCTCCAGCTTGCTGCCTTAACTACTATTCAAGACTGCTTTTAAAATGATTTAATAGCAGAACATAATAAGATTTCCAGAATTAAAAGAGCCAAAGGTCTTATATCTTCCTCTCTTTTTTTGTTAATCTTTCTAATAGAGATTATGTACTACAGATTCTATCTTAGTGGGGGTGTTCTTTGCGGATAAAGATGCTGAAATTTAAATATGCAACACCCCATCCAGCAGAACCGGGCGCGATGGAATCTATTGCCAGCCGGGCTTCTCGGCTTAACCTGCTCCTTCAGGTAACTTTGCTTGTTAATTTGTTTCCTATTTAATCTGCCCTGTTGGAGCCCAACTCACCGCTTCATGTGGCAGGCTGTTCCATTGGCTAACATGTCAAGAACATCTTTCTGACCTCTAGCTTGAACAGAATTCCTTATTGTTTTAACCTATTGGTTCTGACCTAGCCCTCTGGGGCGACAAAAACTAAGCTTCCTTTTAAAGACACCTGTTTGGTTTCCAATTAGTCTATTAAGAAAGAGCAAAAGGTGCTTTTAGCTTGTTTACTAGAAATTGTGCAGGAGGCAGTGAGGCTGCTTATTCTTCATCTGATTCTCTTGCTTACAGGACAGTGTGGTTTTTTTTTTCCTTTCCAAATCGTTGCTCTAAAAACAGGTTAATTTGATGTGATGCAGTGTTTTCCCTGGGAGTTGACATCTACGTATCTTAGAGTTGCCAAGGTTGGGAAAACACCGGTGTAATGGGAGCGGTTAGAGAAGCTAACTCCTCCAGAGGTTGCGCTCCAGTTTCCTCCAGCCCCACGGGAAGGAGGATGGGAGTTGTAGTCCAGCAGCAGCAGCAACACAACTGAGATGGCAACACACCGTCAGAATGACATACGCAGCACAAAGTCTGCCCTTGTCTAGTGGCACCTTGGCGTCGGATGCATAGATCGAACTGGCAGATTTGGCATCGCGATAATACGGAATTTCATCCCTTGCCCCCCTCCCTCTCGCCTCCCCCTCCCACCTGTAGCTCCCAAACCCTTCCTGTAAAAATGAAAGACATCAGCCATTTTATACCAACCTCCAACAACCCCGGTGTATGACACGTTTCTAAAATAGGACAGTTTACTAATTGTGTGTAAATATGACTCTTCTGTTCTTGTTGCCTTTGTTTTCAGGGGAAACTCTCGTCTCTGACACAACAGCAGATGTCTCCGTTCTCGAGAGAAGGCATTCTGGACGCCCTTATGGTGCTGTACCAGGAATGCAGCAGTCCTCTGCTAATGAAAATCAAGCATGCGGGCAATTTTTTTAAAAAGCGTAGGTCTGGTTCACTTCCTCTGAGAGCCTCCAAACACCATTTTTCTGGGAGAATTTGGACCGGACGTTGCTTGACAAGAGAGAAACATCAGCCTTAATAGCCATCTATTGATGTCTGGTTTGGCCTGGTACTGTGGCCCCCAACTTTTTGGGCACCAGGGACCGGTTCCGTGGAGAGAGGTTTTCCCACGGACCTGGGGGGGACGAGGTTCTGCGTGCTGCCTACATCCCACGGATGAAAATTTGCTTGTTTGCGCGGCCCGGTTTTGTGGCATGCCGCGGCACGGTGCTGGTCCACGGCCCGGGGATTGGGGACCCTTGGTTTAAAGAGTGGGAGATGAAGGAAGTAACAAGGATTGTGTCTATCGGCAAGGGATCTACTACTGGAGATCCAAAAGAGCAGAGCAGCCTGAAAACATTTAGCGTGTTTGCTTAAAGGGGAAGGGTTTTGAAGAAAGAATCATGGCTTTTTGTAAATCAGTCTGTCTCAAACGTAGGAACTTTATGATTCAATTCCCTGAATACCCCAGAGATTTGTACGCAGAGGAGATCAAAGCAGTATTATGGGTGAAACGGGATTGATTTGGTAAAATTCAACCTAATGCAGTCTTTCCCGGCCTCTACTGGCCGGGGAATTCTGGGAACTGAAGTGCACCTATCTTAAAGCTGCTGAAGTTGAGAAAGGCTAATCTGATGGCTTGTTCCTTCTCATCCACCCCCCACCCCCCACCTTCCTGATCTTCTGCAGATTCAGATTCAATAGCCGAGTTCCGGGAACTTCAACCCAGCTTGAAAGATTTTGAAATCCGGAATTTGTTAGGATGCGGTCATTTTGCAGAAGTCCAGCTGGTGAAAGAAAAGGCAACCGGTGACCTTTATGCCATGAAGGTGATGAGCAAGGAGACACTGCTGGAAAAAGAGCAGGTACGCCCCTGTTTGGTGGGAGAATTTTGTAACCGCAGAGGTTTAACGGCAATTGCAGGAAATTTGCAAATCCAGTCCTTGGCATCCCCTTAGGGACCTGTCAGAAATATAGGCAGGCTTGATATAAAACGATATAAAAATCCTTCCTAGCACAGAAGGGAGGATCAACTGGGACACTCTGGCGAAAGTTGCATTGTGTCATTGCAGTGCAAAAGTCTCACCCTCTTTGTACGTGTGTCTTGATGTTCCAAACATTTCCAAAAGGGACAAAATCTGTGGTGTGACATTTCTTTTGTTAGGACGGAGGAGTATATTTGGCCATGTTACCAGCAAACTCTCAAATGTTTACATCTTGCATTCACAGGGGCTAGAAACTTGGTTTTTTTAATAAGTTGGGAAATGGAGAGCTCCTTAAATGGAACAATTAGGCCTAAAAAATATATGTGGCTTGTGATCGGCATGACCGTTTCCGATGCAACTCCAACATCTAAAGTTAGATCCACGTTTCCCCCTCCCTCCCTTCATGAATTTAATCTTCTAAAAAAATCTTTTTTTTTTAGGTCTTCTTTGAGGAAGAGAGAAATATCCTATCCCAGAATGCCAGCCCTTGGATCCCACGTCTTCACTATGCCTTCCAAGATAAAAAAAATCTTTACTTGGTAAGCTTTGCGTTTGCAAAAACTCATTGTGGCTTTGTAGGGTTTTAGGCACGGAGTTGGCTGTTTAGAGCCGAGTTGTGCTATGCTGGCTTCAGAGCAGTTTGAGAGGGAAATTGGGTGTCAAACTGAGCTTACAGTTTTTCAGTTGTGTCCATATTTAAATCTTTTTCCCGTGCCGGCTTTTTTTAAAAGAGGCTATTTGAAACCTTTCAGGCCTGTGTTGGTAATGCAGCGTTTCTCCCATGCCCAACGAAGGGCCTTGTGCAAATTAACAATGACATCACAACTGCATGGAGTTAAACATCATTTTGCAAGTCCTGGTGGTCCTCGACTTACGACCACAATCGAGCCCAACATTTCTGTTGTTAAGTGAGACAGAAGTGAATTTTGCCCCATTTTTACGGCCTTTCTTGCCAGGGCGACTAAGTCTATCACCGCCGTTGTTAAATTGGTCACACGGTTGTTAAGTGAATCCGGATTTCCCACTGACTGCCTGTCGGAAAGTCGCAAAAGGAGATCACCTGACCCCGGGACACTGCGGCCGTCATAAATACGAGCCGGTTGACAAGCATCTGAATTTTATTCATGTGATCATGGGGGAGGCTGCAACGGTTGTACGTGTGAAAAACCGTCCTAAGTCGCTGTTTTCAGTGCTGTCGTAACTTTGAACGGCCACTAACTGAACTGTTGTAAGTCGAGGACTACCTGTGATGAATGGAGAAAACTTTAAGTGTGTTAGAAGGAAAAATAGAGGCGTATATGTATCAACGTCGTCCATCTACCTACCCACTCACCTCCTTACTTAAGGAAGGGCGATATAGTGGTTAAGGCACCCGGCTAGAAACCCAGGAGACCATGAGTTCTAGTCCTGCCTTAAGCGCAAAGCCAGCTGGGTGACTTTGGGCCAGTCCCTCCCTCTCTCAGCGTAGGAGGAAGCAAGCAAGGGCAAACCACTTCTAAAATATGTTGCCAAGGAAACTGCAGGGACTTGTCCACTAAGAGTCAGGACTGACTGAAAGGCATAAAAACGGTGCATTTCTGATGGAGGTTGCAACCTTAAGCAGACAGGAAGGAGAAAAGTTCAGAGTAAATAGAAATTCTCATTATGGGATTCGATTCCACTCGCAGGATAACAATAGATTAAATGACCGGTTCGGGGGGGGGGGAAATTCCTGGAAATTTCAGGCAGAATAAAACTTGGGTTTTGTGATTTATTGAGAGTGTGGAAATTAAACAAAAAAGAGCCATTTTTATCCTTCCTGTTAAAAACGAGAACTCTTCTCTGAGTGTGCTTAGCCCACGCTTCCTTATTGACCTTTAACGGCATGTAAATATGATCCAGGTGATCAAATGCAGAAACTGCTTTTTAATTTTCAAGAGACCGCATCGTCTTTAATATCTACTGTTTCACAAATTTTATTTCCCTCTGTATGTGGGCCTGATTACTTCCACATGATGTCAAGGTTATGGATTATGAGCCCGGAGGAGAGCTACTGTCATTCTTAAACAGATACGAGGATCAACTGGAGGAAAGCACCACACAGTTTTATCTAGCAGAATTAGTTTTGGCCATTCACAGCATCCATCAAATCGGCTATGTCCATCGGTGAGTTTGTCAGTTCTGCATACTTAACCAAACATAAGAGAGGCAGTTTGGACTAATGGTTAAGGCACCAGGCTAGAAAGTAGGAGACTGAATTACAGTCTTGTCCTAGGCACTAAAGTGGCTGGGTGACTTTAGGCCAATCACCAGGAGACTGTGAATTCTAGTCCCGGCTTAGACATGAAAACCTTGAGTGGAGTTGAACAGTTCTGGGGAGAGTATAAATACTTCTGACTGAGTGTACACCTATTGCTAAGCTTTCAATGTGGTTATAATTGTGTGAACCCAACTTGCTTCTGATAAAATGTATCCTGAAATTGTTCTGAAGACTAGGAAGCATCTTTTTTTGATTTCTTATCCCTGTAATGGTTTCAGCAGCAGCGTGATGGGGCAAGCAATTTTAATTTCAGAAAGAGAGTTTTATTGATTCCTCCTTTACCTTCTTTATGTCTTACAGAGATGTTAAGCCAGAGAATATCCTCATTGACAGAACAGGGCACATCAAGTTGGTGGGTTTTGGTTCTGCTGCCAAAATGACGGCGGATAGAACGGTAATAAAATATTTTTGAAATGGAGAAATTAAAGATTGACATTTAATCTTGGATATTGCCATCTATTGCAATTGTATCACAGAGTTACACAGATGATGGGTGACGATCTTGGAAAAGCAACTAGGCCAAATTAAATTGGCCTGAAGGCCAAATTCTGGAAATAAGCATCTGTCTGAGACTCTGGCTAAGGGCTACAGTCAAATGTTGCATTGTTTGTGCAGTGACTCTAACGTGATCTGAACCACGGCCTCTGAATACACAGTCAGCATTGTCAGTGATTATAGATAGAACCTAAAACCAAGTATGACACATGATGAGTCTTCCAAGCTGAGTTCCTTACTGTTTCACTTTCATAGATAAAAATCTTGCCAGACTGAGGACTCTACTATCTGTATTCACAATGCACTCTGGGAACTCTTAAGGAGGTCTTCACCCTCTTTCTCTCACACATAATAACTGGGCTAAGTTGCCTCTTCTTTCTCTGGAATGGAATTCTTCAGCCACCATGTGTGGACTTCAACTCCCAGGATTCCTCAGTCACCATGTGTCGGGCTCCAAACCAAGAATGACAGGTGGTGATTCTTCCAAGCTGAGTTCCTTATAGTTTCACTCTTCTAGATAAAAATCTTGCCAGACCAAGGAGTCTACTGTTTGCCCCTACAATATACTCTGTGAACTCTTAAGGAGGGACCGTCCTCACCCTCTTTCTCACACACAATATCCAGGCTGAGTTGCCTCTTCCTCCTCTGGAATCCTCCCTCTTGAGGACCCACCTCCTTAATACATTCCATCACATCATGGGTGGACTTCAACTCCCAGAATTCTTCAGCCACCATGTGTCAGGCTCAAAACCAAGAATGACCGGTGGTGATTCTTTCAAGCTGATTTTTTTTTAATTGTATCACACCTAGAGACAAAATCTGGCCAGTCTGAGGACTCTATTATCTGTATCTACAATCTATTCTGGGAGCCCTCTTTACTCTTTCTTTCCTTCCCTTTCTCTCTCTCTCTCTTTTTGTATTTGTTCTTTTAAATTATCCTGCTTTGTCCTGAAGGGAACATCTGTCTGTCAGCTGAAGTAAACAGAAGCCGTGGGCAACTGGCGATCATGAGTAGCTCTGCCCTGGTCTTTGAGTTTAACCATGCGCCTGCTAATTTTGGGAGGAAAACATCAAATGAGTAATTGGGGAAGCTGAGGTTATGGTCGGAAATAATGGTGGGTTTGATTACGGTTAGAACTGCTTGTCTCTTATTGTGACAAGAAAAGCCTCTTGATTAAGCTAATTGAACGGATAGAATTTTACATATTAAACGAGTCCTGGCTGAAAACCGTAGCTTTCCTTTTCTACTGACCTTGAGTAGTTTGTTTTTTTTAAAAAAAATGCGAAATTATAATTAAAATAGTCTTGGCCTCCTTTGCATTTTCCTTAGCCAGCTGGGATTTTGTTGAAACTTAACTAACACCGACTAAGAGTTGGGAGAGAACATGAGTTTTTAAACTGCGTTCTGAAGAAATCTGGGAGATGCTTAAAAATTAGAATTTCTCAAGCCAGATGGGACGGGTGTGTTTTTCGGAAGAAATCAAGATTCAAAATGCATCGTCTCTTGAAGAGAGCATTTGATTTGACTTACGACTTACGACTAGAGCTTCTCTTCTCCATTTCCAGAAACTGGGCAAAGATCTGTGACCTTAACCTGCTCACTCCAGCTGTCCTAAGTAAGCTGAACTAACCGATTCCCTTCTGTTCTAGGTGGATGCCAAGGTGCCCCCTGGCGCTCCTGACTACATGGCCCCGGAAGTGCTTAGTGCCTTGAGCAACAGCAAAGCCTCCTATGGGTCGGGATGCGACTGGTGGTCCCTCGGGGTGGTCGCTTATGAAATGACTTACGGAAAATCGCCGTTTACCAAAGGGACCTCGGCTAAAACTTTCAACAACATCCTGAATTTTCAGGTAGAAATTGAGCTTCTCTCCGTTCGAGTGGGTGGCAATGGAGGATACGCATAAAATGGGGTCTGTGGCTTCGGGGGCTGGGCCCGCAGGGGGACTGCAGTCGAGGGGGGCCAGTTCAGCATGGACGCCTCGTCCCCCAAGCTCTTCGAGGGCACGACCCTGGCTTAGAGGTGGGGAAGGGGCGCAGGGGCTGGGGGCTTCTGGGAGGGGGATGATGGGCTTTGGAGCAGCAAGGGTTGAGGGGAGATTTGGGGAGGGGGCGAGAGGCAGGAGCGGATGGGGAGGGGCTGGCGCTCACTGGGGCTGGAAGGACTGTGGAAAGTGTTCCGAGGGGCAGGGGGGATCCTGGGAGAGGAATGAAGGGCTGAGCAGGGGCATGTGGGGAAGGGGGCTAGAGGCAGGAGGGGCTGGTGAGGGAGGGGGACAGCGGTCGTATAACCACAATTGGAACTGGAAAATTAATCGTGTGGTCGTTAAGCAAGGTACCATGTCATCACACTCCATTGTATCCCCTTTTTTTGCACTGACCTTAAACATATCACGGCGGGCGTTAAGCAAGACCCCCCCCCCCGGTTGCCCCTTGCCACCTTTCCTGCCGGCTTCCCCATGGATCTTGTCCATTGGAAGCTGGTTGCAAAAGGGATCACGTGACCCCCTGTAACCCCTGTTGCCAATGCAAACCAGTTGCCCCAGCATCGGCATCACAATCAGGCGACTTTAGGACGCTGCAACCGTCATAAGTGCGAGGACCGGTTAAGTATTTGCCAGCGCCACAGTTGTTAAGTGAATCACTGGCAGCCTTTAAGTCAGTAACCCAGTTGTAAAGTGAATCTGGCTTTTCCCCATTGGCTTTGCTTGTCAGAAGGTCACAGAAGCGGATTGGGACGCTGCGACCGTCATAAACGCGAGTCAGCTGCCAAGCGTCTGAATTTTGATCACGTGGCCACAGGGGTGCTGCAGTGGTCATAAATGTGAAACGCGGTCACAAGTCACTCTTCTCAGTGCCGTTGTAACGTCAAACGATCACTAAACGGATGGCTGTAAGCCGAGGACTGCCTGTTAAAATAATCTTAACAAAACATAAAATGGAGCAAAACGAATTGGGCGTCGCTATAAGAAAGAAATAAAACTTCAACTCCGGGACTGGGATCAAAGCCAGCTTCCCAAAGCTGCCTTGCATCTTCTCTTCCCCCAAGATCTTAAATGCCGCTGGTGGATGTATTCTTAGCAACAATAAAGTCTCGATGCAGCAATTTAAAACATCCCCTTTTTAAATCGGAGAAGAGCAGCTTTCGTCGTGGGAGTTAATTCAGCTTTGGCAGAGGAAAACTTTTCAAGGGACCCGGTGATGCTATCGCCGTTCTGGAGGAAAGGGGTTTTTTTGGGGGGGGGAAACTATTATTATTATTATTATTATTTGCTTTGAATTTGGAAGCTTTACGGGCAAGACGGAGAATTTTTCCTCTCTCTTAACCGCTGAGGGAGATTTATGTTTCTTTCAAACGCAGAGGTTCCTCAAATTCCCGCAGGACGTAAAGGTCAGCCACGAGTTTCTCGATCTGCTGCAGGGTTTATTGTGTGGGCCGAAAGAGCGCTTGGATTACGAAGGCCTTTGCTGTCATCCGTTCTTTTCCCACGTGGACTGGAGCGCCATCCCTAACTGTGAGTGACAGCCCACACGTGTCTTGGAAGTCCTTGATCTGTGGGGTTCCCGTGGGGTCCAGGAACGTGGCCTCAAAGCAATTGGGGGAATCATTTCGGTTGAAGCTGGGACAATCTCCTTTGGCTTGGAGGTAAACAGTTTCCCTGTCCAGCCGTGTCTGACTCTAAGGCATGGGTGCTCAACTCTGTTTCTTGGCCAAAGAAGTTGGCGTTATCCGAAGACATTTCCCGTGGTTATGTGGCCAGTATGGCTATACAGCAAAGGCTGTTTACCTTCCCACCGAAGTGGTACCTATTTATCTACTCGCACTTGCATGCTTTCGAACTGCTGGGCAGGAGCTGGAGCAAGGAACAGGGAGCTCACCCCGTCGTGTGGCACCCCGGGTCTTGAACCGCGGTTGTCAGCTCTCCAGCTAACAAGCTCAGCGTCTTTAAACGCCGCTGGCTTGGAGATCGGCATTTTTAAAAAAGGACTCGCTCTTTTTTAACCAAGTTGTGGAGAAACAGCACTTAATGAAAAACCGCGTTTCTTCCTGTTGCAAAAGGCTGGTCTGTTTCCAGCTGTTTGGGGCTTTAGATGGGGGTTCTGGCTGACCGCTGTTTAATGAAGGATTTAAGCCCGGAAAGGTAAATTGGCATTTCCTATTCCAGATCATTTGATATGTTATCACTTTATATGGGGTTGTACGTTGTGTTTCCTTCTGTTCAAAAGGAGAGGGTGCTTCCTGCGTTATTGGTTAACAGGGTTTAGTCCGTGGCTTATTCCTGTATAAAAATAAGAAAAATGTAGTTCATGGATGTAAATCTCGGTAAATTAGGAAAACCATAATTTTCACTCCCTGTCCCCTGCTACAAATTGTGAGAAGTAGCTATAAACGAATTTCCTTGTAACACACACAAACTTCCTCTCCTCTCCTCTCCTCTCCTCCTCCTCCTCCTCCTCCTCCTCCTCCTCCTCCTTTTCTTTCTTTCTTTCTTTCTTTCTTTCTTTCTTTCTTTCTTTCTTTCTTTCTCAGTTTCAAAGGAACTGCTCAATAGGACTCTCATTGTGAGGGGTATGCTGCATTCTCTCAGCCTTTCACCAGCAACTCTCACATCCACCATGCTTTTAGAACAGAGGTGTGTCCAAGCTTGGCAAATTGAAGACTTGTGGACTTCAACTCCCAGAATTCTCTGCTGACTGGGGAATTATGGGAGTTGAAGTCCACGGATCTTAAAACTGCCAAGTTTGGAGCCCCCCGTTCTAAAGTTATATTTTTCCAGGTACACATGCGTTCAAAACGAGCCTTTAAAAAAAAAAACAAATAAAAAACCAGGTGCTCACCAGACCGTCCTCTCCTTCATCCTGGTGTCTTCAGGTGGCCCCATCAAATCTTCTGCATTCTCTCATCTCATTTCTGCCCATCTGTTTATGTCACCTAAGAGAACGGGTTTTTTTTTTTCTCCCAGATCACCTCCATTAGAATATTGCACGGGGTTTTTTTTCTGGCTCTTCCCATTATCATCGTTCACTGGAGCATAACACAACTGTCATCAATTTATGGATTCCTACTTTCCTAGCATCCCTGGCAACTTAAATGATATCCATTCATCCTTTCAGGCAGGCATTTAAGTCCTTTTATGCCATCGAAGCATATGCTTTCCCAGCCCTGCCTGGGTTTAATCAATCCCATTCTGCAAGATCGAAGTCTTCATTCATAATTTGCATTTGTCTTGTCCCATAGACCTGAAACCTCTCCCTTTTTATTTTTGGGTAATTCATGCTCTCTACTGATTTATTCCCTTACAATATACCATGTGCCAGGGCCATCACCAGTTGGGTTCGGAGATATTGACTGTCGCCAGAGGAGAATATTTGTAGCTCAAGGCTGAAATGAGGGGTCCCTGATGTTACCAAACTAGGCGGCATCATCAGTGCTAGTAGGCAAGCCCCAGACCCTTCTAGCACTGATGATGTTACCTAGTTGGGTAATGAAATGTCTGCAAGAAAACAACCAAACTCAGAGAATAGCAAAGACCCACCACAGTCCTCCCCCTCCTCCTCTTCCTCTTCCTCCTCTTCCTCTTTTCCACAAACCCCCCTCCCTTCTAGCACTTATGATGTTACCTAGCTGGTTAATGAAACGTCTGCAAGGAAACAATCAAACTCAGAGAACACCATGGACCCACAATCCTCCTTCCTCCTCCTCCTCCTCTCCACAAACCCCACTCCCTTCTAGCACTGATGGTATTACCTATTTCGGTAATGAAACGTCTGCAAGAAAACCACCCAGCTCAGAGAGCACCAGAGAACCTTCCTACGGACCATCCCCTATCATAAAGCTGTTTAATAAAAATAGGAAGAAACGAACCAGATTACCAGCCTTAAAAGTGCCCCCACCAGGTGCTCTGTTACCTGCTAACCACGCATCCACTAGTGGGCACATTTTGCCCAGTTTGATTCAAATGCAGCCATAGTGATCGGTCCCCAAAGATGTAAATTACAATCTCTGTTCTCAAGACTACAGTTAGTCCTTGACTTATAAACACAATTGGATCTACAGTTTCTGTTGCTAAGCAAGGCACTTGTTAAATAAGTTGCACCCCCCCCCATTTTATGACATTGTTTCCCCTTTGCCTTTGCCTTTTGGACTTTGCCCCTTCCTTTCTCTTTTTTCTCTTCCCTTCCCTTTCCTTCCCTCTTTCTCTTTTCCTTCCTTTTTCCTTTCCCTCCCCTCCCCTTCTTTCCCTTCTCTTTTCTCTTCCCCCTTCCTTCTTCCCTCTTTTCCTTCCCTTTCTCTTCCCCCTTCCTTCTTCCCTCTTTTCCTTCCCTTTCTCTTCCCTCTTCCTTCTTCCCTCTTCCCTCTTTTCCTTGCTTCTTCCCTTCCCTCCCCTCCTTTCCCTTCCCTTTTCTCTTCCCTCTTCCTTCTTCCCTCTTTTCCTTCCTTCCCTCTCCTCCCCTCTCCTCCCCTCCTTTCCCTTCCCTTTTCTCTTCCCTCTTCCCTCTTTTCCTTCCTTCCCTCCCTCCCTCCCTGCAATGGCTTCAAAGCACCCGGCACGCAAAGGGTTAAAAAAAAAAACCCCAAGAAAAGAAAAAAAAGCAATCTGGGCTACAAAAGGCTTTGGCAGTCTGGCAAGCCCCAGCCGTGACTCATCCTTCCGTGTCGGTCCCCGATCACTACCAGGCGTCTGGCAGGCATATGGGCAGAGAGGGCTAAAGCCTTGGAACATGCACAGAGCGGAGAGCCGGCAGCCTGCACTGCAGGAAGCGCCCATGCAATGCCGGCTGGCTGGGCTCCCTCGCCCCCCACCCGCCTCGGCGGCGGCTCAGCTCTGAGGGATCTGTATGGAGCCATGGTAACCGCGTTTGCACACTCTCCTCCGTCCACCCGCTTCTGACAGGGAGCAACTTGGCAAAAGGGATGCCCGTTTGCC